AAGTTGAGGCCAGAAGGAGCCAAAAGCTCACCATGTACCAGTTGGCTGGTCTTTGCCCTGACCCTGGATGTCCCTGGGTCTATTTGGCTCTCTCTGGATTCAGATTTTTCCAAGACACTGTGCCCTAGTTCCTCTGCACTGATTTTTTTTTTTTTTTTTTTTTTTTTTTGCCATTTTGAGTATGATTTGCGAAACATTCCATCTGCCTGCCTTCTGGTTTGGGGAAAGCCTTGATCCTAACTCGATTTTTTATTGAGACAATGCAAATGCAAAGAAATTGAGTTAGGGGAAATTCACTCAGCACAGTGTGTTAGCAACAGGGCTTAAAACAGAGCAGGACCCTAAACTTCTAAGAACGAGACAAAATGTTCTCCTTATCCCACGACTTGTAGTAAATGCAAGAAATGCACAGGACATCTTTCAAAGTAGAAAGATAGTGGGTGAACTTTAAGAATGGCATATGATGCTCAATGAATAGATAAAGATGATTTTTGTTGATTGATGTAGGACATGTCAGAAAGCCGACTGTGAGTAAGGAAGGGCTGTGTCGACAGAGTATGCACGCCGGCCTCCCCTTTGCTGTGTCCTTGCAGAGTGGCATTGCTCTGGTGTCTGTGCAGTCCCTACTCTTTGATGCCAAATTTTGCATGAGTTATCTTTAAGCCAAAATATTTCCTTATCTTCTTTAACTGTCAAAGTCTCATCCATATGTTCACATTCAACTTAAATATAATTTTCTCTCGAATGTCTTTAGCATGCTGAGAAAYTTACCTGAGTACTCAAATTCAGTTTTCTCTTCGTCTCTTTACTATGTTTGTGGACCTCTGTAGCATCTCTACTGTATGGAGAAGGCRACTGCGTTCACTTATTTTGTCTACTAATTGCACATGTGAGTGGTGGCTAATGTTTGATTATTGAACAGGTGAACAAATGTAGTAGACAGTGTAGTGTTGGCCAAAGAACATTATTTGACCTTATTTTTTTTTTGCGTGTGTGGCTACTTTCAATATTGCTTCTAATATAGTATTTGGAATAGAGCAGATGTTCCACTGTGTTTATTGATATAATTGATTAAAATACTTAATATTCTTTTAAAATTTTGATTGGGCTCATAAGCTGCACCATGATGCTTTGTGAAGCATTTGAGAAGTRTCTAGAATTGGACAGTTTTCCCTTCCTTTCTCTTCTAGAAATGGTGTTTTCCTTCTTTGGGGAGACTTATTCTTCTTGAAGAGGTCACAGACCATAATTTCTACAACCTCCCCTTGTCCCTGTGCCTTAATCACAGGGGTGTGTATATTTCCAAAATGGGCCAGTCGCTTTTTTCTTAGGATTTGTCAAGTGCACGTGCAGTTAGAGGTGCCCTTCCCCAGCAGGCTGCCCATCATGGCTTGATTTCAGAGAAGGCCAGTTCTTACACCTGYCATGTATTTGTAACATGAATCAACAAATATCCAATTTTGGTTAGAGGAGTGTGAGTTTGATAGTCACTGTTGCAAACAGAGTCTTAACACATGTGAGCACAGAAAAGCAGTGAGTGGCCTGGGATTAGCTGTACCCTGGGGTCTCCTCCCTGTGCAACCTCTAAATTGTGGCATCTGGCCACCAGGTAAATTGCGGCACCCACCAGCTKCAGCATTCAGATCTCATCACTGTATCATCTTCGGGCTTCAGTTTCACATCTTAGGTCAGGGTTTGGCAAATGCTAAGGATCTGTCTTTGTTTTATACCAAATAGGAGAGTGTTGTTGGAGCAGTCAACACAGGTGTACCCAGGTGAACAAACGTGCGCACGCACACACATGCATGCACACACGCACACAAGCACACACCCTCTGGAGCAATGCTTTTTTCTCACTGAACCAGTGCAGACAGAGGGTGTATGCCAGCCTCCTCATTCCGGGGAGAGTGTGTCAGAACCACCTCAGAAACTGTGAGCTGTGATTTTTCCTGAAGCAGGGTCTCCTGTCCCACGTCCCCTACACCAGCCCTGAGACACCAAACCGGAGAGCCCTTAAATGAATTAACAAACCTTAAATTCAGGGAAATTACATTTCTCTCTTTTTTTTGGGGGGGGTCAAATTTCCTTCACTTTTTTTTTCTCTTCCAAATACCCTTCTTCTTCCTTTAAAATAACATTGTTAAAATTACTTTTGAACACTAACATTTTCCCATTTTGGAAAAAGTAGAATTCACAAAACAAAACAAAACAAAAAAAAAGAAAGAAAGAAAAGAAGAGTCAAGTCACAATGCTACCACTCATGATGGTTGTGGTTAATTTTTGGCATATATTCTTTCCAACTTTTTTTTTCATGACAATATTTTAACAAACTGGAAATGACAATGCATTTTAATTTAACAAATCYAAACATTTTCTGCTATTTGGGTTTTTCTTTCCTGTTCCTCTGGCCCTGTGAGGTTACCATGAATACCCCAGCACTCGATCTTGGATGTTGTGTATTAGGGGCATAGTGCATTTGCAGCATATGTGAATGTTTTATACAAACGCAGATGGCAATCCAGCACTTGACCCCACTTCTCTTCTTGGAGATAGAGTAGATTTTTAGCATGTACTACAAAATGAGATGATCAGACTGGAGAYGAATCACATGCATTTATAGGGATTCAGGAAAAATGCTAATAAGCCTGATTCCTGGAACATTCGTTAGTTTCTGGATGGAAAGGAAATCCCAAGTGCAACACCGAAATATGAATGTGAGACCTTCTGTGTCTGCACTTCCCCAGTGGAGCCCATCATTATCTCCAGCAAAAATCAGCGCTTGGTTGTACCAGCCTTTCCTCATAAAACCAATATGGGTTTTGTCAGACAAAATAGAAGCACCACATTTTCTCTATGAGGCTGAAAATGATAGGAATGTTTCTCACTGTTTCAGCAAAACACAAAGGAGCTGAAACTAAGAAAACACTGGTAGAATAGATCAGAGGGCAATAAATGTGTCCTTCATATAGCAATCAGATGTGGCTCCTCTGTTCCCTTCACCAACCAAAGGGTCCGGTTCCTTAGTCCAGGGCCAGTGCACAGAGACCCTCCCTCCAGCGTTTGGCAACCTCCTCACCTTTTGAAAACAAATCCAACCATCAGAAAACGATGGTTGTCTTTGGAAGGGGGGGGTGTGAAAACAAGACGATATTGTTAAATAGTTTTATCCTCCATTTTTAAAGGTTTCAGTTTGTTGCTAGCAGCCAGTGTATGACTACAGAGCCACAAAAGATCCATATAGTCTTAATGGATCTTAACACAGGAGGGTTGGGGGTTGGAATAGGTGGACTCGGCCTAAAAGTGGTAGTATGAGAAAGGTTTGTTTGTTGTTATTTTGTATTCCTGAGCCTGACAACAAAAATTTGGAATATCCTTTCGTAGAGTGGAATCTTATTTTCTTTCCAAGCTGGGAGACTGAAGAGCTTGAAGAGCTCCATCTGTGGCAACAGGAATGATAAATGCTTTTGAGGAAATCAGCAGGCTTTTGCCCTGTGTAATGTCTGACACTAACAAACTCAACAAGCTGGGGTCCTTKCTCCTCACCCTAAAACGTGGTCTAATGGGACTGACGCATTTAAGAGGGGGTTGGAGATGACCTTTTCTAGGTGAGAACCAGCAGAATGGAAAGGCTTTCATTTAGGTGGGAGAAGCAGAAGACCCACAGAACACTCAAATGGCCAAAGTCACCTTGCCTGTAGTGGCAGAACAGGACTAGAACAGGGACACGTCCAGGACAGCGTCCCTCCCACCGTGTTCTTGGTGGCCATGTGGACACAGTGGCCTGGATGTGCCCTCCCCCCAACATGTCCTGCTAACAGCTTCTTCCTGTCTCCATCCCAAGTTCCATCAGCTTCAGCCTTGGGGTCATGGCTTCTGAACCCTCTSTCCTTGCCCAGAACTTAGCGTTGGTAGAACTGGATTGACTCGTGAGATTCCAGGTATGTCTATCTAATGTGGCTACTCCAGATGGCTAGCAGTGGTTAAGGGAGATCACAGGGGTCTGTGGTACCCAGGAGTACCAGGAGAAACTGGGGATGAATGTCTAGACACAGTAGTGACATTAAGGTCACTACCCTGACCTTAATGCTTAGGCTCCTCCCCACCCATCTGAAGTTTAAATACAGAGCAGGCATCCAGGACTGGAGGGCTGTCCCTCCACGGGGACGGGAGTCTGGTATGAGTTRCATTGATGTCTCTTCAGTTGCTGTGATGAGATAGAAATAAAATAACTAAAAGGTAGCTGTTTTATTCAGAGCTGAGAGTGCCTATTCCTCCAACAACAAATACCACTTAGGGTATGTTTAAATTTRAAGATGTATCGATGTAAATATGCTTTGATTTATCTGTGATAATGGCAGTGGTGATAAAGGGGAAAGGGTGAGGATGTTCATTGGTTAGCCTGAAACTACATCTTCAATATTTGTGATTTTTGCAAGACGTGGGGAAATGTGCTAATACCCAAGAACAGCTTGTCACTCGTGGTTGTGCTGTTTGGAACAGCCCYGCCCAGGAAGCTGCTCAGGAGCCGGCTGACAGTAGGATGCATATGAATTCTGGAAGAGTCCCATGAGAGAATGTACCTCTGCAGTGTGAATGAAGGGTCCATGACTAGGGCAATAATAGAGCGAATCTCACAAATGTGGGGCTGGAAGGAAGGGCCCAGGCGGGAAAGAAACYACACTGACTGATTCTATTCTCTAAAAGCCACCACAGGCAACATTGGTGCGTGATGTGAGAGCCTGTGGAGCCCTGAGGTGGCACCATGTGCTTCTGCCTCCCCGGTGCTGCTACAGAGCCTTGCTCAGAGTTCACGGAGCTGTGCCACGGGCTCTAGGCAATTTCGTGTGTGTGTGAGTGTGTGTGTGTTTGTTTGTTTGTGTGTGTGTGTGTGTAAAATGTCTTAGTGACATCTTTTTAAAGGCAAACGGGCATTTTTCAAGAGGCAGTAAARTCAACACCCATATTTTGGGTAGATTCTTTCATTTTCACCTTTTATTTGGAAAAATAAGGACTTTGGAAGTGCACCTCTTTTGTAAAATTTTAATCAGGTAAATGAAATGAGCTGAAATAGCCAACAGGACAGGAATAGAGAGGAGCATAAAGTCTCAAGAGATGGATCCCCATAGGGAAGAGGTATCCCCTCCAAAACTCTGTGCCACCCACATGAATTCCATAAGCAGGCCCACCGAGGCCTCCCACTGTCACTCAGAAGCACACCTCACGTTCTGAAGCCAGGGGGCTCGCACACAGGCTTGTGAGCAATGGGCTCCCAACTTCAACTTATTACCAAAGGATCTGCATCAGATGACAAACCCGAGCAGAGGTACATGGGCAGTTCTGCCCTTCTGTCTCAGCCACCCTCAGGGACAGATTTGCTTTGGAAAATCCTGCTTGTGACCCACAAGCATCATCCATCTCCACACCACTGTTCAGTGGCATCTCTGTCCTGAAAGTTTGTGCTTAAAGCTTTCCATCCATTGATAAATTTTTAAAGTCTCACATTTTCATCTGCACAACGCTTAACGGATCTTGGTTCATAACTGCTTATCTTGGTGAGAAACTTTAATATTCCATGATTACCTATAATAACAGTTACTTGGTTGTAAATGTAATTAATTAAATATAAAAATTATTATTTATACATTACTAGAAATCCCTTAAAAAGACCAAGTGTTGAGAGACAGAGAGAGCAAGAAATTGTTTACAAAATTGCAGGGGCCCCAAGAATCTCTGTTATCAGTAAGACAGATATAACCAAAAACAGTTTGGGGCATTCAGTTTTGCCCTAAGAGTGCTTAGAATAAAATGAAGGCTGAATGAATAACTGATATATGGAAAAACTATGTCCATTCCAAGGCCCCCAAATGCATAAGAATTCTTTGGAAGAGTTTTGAAGAGCATAAATATTRCAAATAAAGGTAAAGAGAAGCACTGGCCGTGTGTTTTAAACCAGCATGTGGTGGCCATGCTTTTGGTGCCCACTGTATTGAACCCCTTCTTTTTCTCTTTGATGAGAAGGTCTGGCTCAAGTGGTCAAGTTTCCTAGGGACAGAAAACTGGCAGATCACAAGAGAAACAGAAATGAATGGTAAGATCATCTTTAGAAATGAAGCAGTATTTACACAGTGACACGATTGGTTTGACAGGCCTTGGACCCCTCCGGCTCCACACCCTTTCCAGAAGAACCTAGTTTGATTGGTATGGTGAAGTTCTCATCTCTGTGAATCCCTCCAGGTAACTGCAGTGACCTAGAGGCCCCTGTTCTCTTGGCTAGAATGTTCCAGTCTTCTGTGCTGTTGACGAGTCCAGCCAAGAGCTGTGCTGCTTCTTGGGAAGATCACCAGACTCGGCATTTCTTCTCTGGGTTCATGTAGGAGTTCTTGCGGCAATGAAAGGCTTCTGAAAACTCTGCCGAGTTCTGCAATGTCCCAATAATCCTTTGACACAAACAAAAAAGACATCATCAGCATTGGCTACTCATGTCCACACGAGTGGAGAGCCCTACAGGATTTCTCTGTGCAGGCCAAGTCAATAATTCTAGAATTTGAAATTTAAAAGGAAAAATACACCTGGCACAATGAGTCGATTCCTTGTCATTAACAATTTTTCAATGGAGAGTCTGCAGAGCAGAAGTTAGTGAAAGGCGTGGATTTTGGAGACAGGCTGCTTGGTTTGAAACCGGGTCACCAGGCCTCTCTGTACCTCAGTCTCCTCATTTTAAAAGTGCATATGATAATAGTTTCTGCACCTTGAGATTGTAATGGAGCATTAATCATCCATAAATGCTCTGTGTTTTCAAAACAAACAATGCATATTTGGAATTGTAGTTTCGTAAGAAAAGTTTGGGTGAAGAATGAAATCAGGATTTTTTACTATATTGTGAAAGGGCTCATACAATCATTGAAATATAATAGGCTTTTAATAGGTCTTTGTTATTTTCATTTTTTTTTCCCAAAAGGACTCCTTAAATATCAGAAACTGGATTCAGCCTGAATAACTGGAAAGGGCTGGAAAAATGCCCATGTCTTCTTATCTCTGCTTCCAATGGGCGAAAACAACCGTGTCCAGCACACTATCGGCACCGCGCAGCACTGGAGGGAAGAGATGGGTCAATACAAGGATGTGGAGGGGACCCTGTCATGCCCAGCCAGCTCTGCCCCGCCTCGTCCACCTGAACCAGCAGCATGCTCCCTGGGGTGGGGGCTGGGGGCAGGGGTGCTGGGCCGATGAAGACCAGGAGCATCCTGATTGCTAGAGCTCTCTATGCGCACACAGCCTAGCCCCTGCCTGCCCCCACACCCATTCTGCACACAGATATCCACTGGTACGTGACAGGAGGTGACAGGCTCCACAGACTGGGAGGCAGTGACAAAGTGGTGCACGATAAGGGCCTCTGACAGGCCTCCACTGATTCTGGAGTGGAGACTCTGGAGGCCCTTGACCATGACCATGGAAGGGAGAGGAGCCACCTGGTTCACGTGGAGCCCTCAGGCTGTGGGGGCCTCAGCAGCCACTGTGGCAGGCGGGAAGGCAAGTCCCCAATTCCCAGGCCTGTGTGGTAAACTCCTGTGCAACCCTAGAAAGTGGGACATGGGGCACTAGTGGGACTTAATTTCCCACCGCCTCGCTTAGGCCAGGGGCTGAGAGCTTGACTTATTTATTTTTTTAAGTGCCCATTTCTTATATCTGAAATGTTCAAGAAAAAATGTAGTTTTTCCACCATGTGAGGATACAACAAGAAGTCTGCAGTTTGCATCCTGGAAGGCAGTACTCCCAGAACTTCCTAACTCCGAAATTCTTAGAAACTAGGAATTTTCACTGCTCCTGTCTCTTGGGCGCTGGGCTCACGTACTCTACAGGATGGAGGTGCTTTGGCCCATTGATCCAGTCCGCCTCCCAATTTAGGAAGCTCTAGACTCTGGCTAGGRGACAATCCTCATGGTGGCCTGGGTGTACCTCCCACTGGACAAGCTCCCTAGCTGATAGCACAAACCTGTGAAAGAACAAGAAGAACTGGACTTTGCTTTTTGTTTTATTAAGTTTTTTTCAAAGGCTAGTATCTTAGATTCATCACACGGGAACAAGTACTTCAGCTGCAATGCCCAAACCCATTTGTCTCAAATTAAAAACAGAAAAACACCTTAAAGACACAACCGTCTTTGGAACACAGGGGAAGTTGGAGAGGCAGGAACGCTTGACCTTGAGCACTCAGCTCTGGTCTCCCCTCCACCAGAAGACTTCACTTAGATGCATACCAGGGCCTAACTCACCTTCCTGGGTCTCTAATGAATGTCTGGTGTTTATAACATCAAATCTTTGGATGGAAGATATGCATAACCATTTTGAAAAGTGTGGCACAGTATGAATAAACAAATCCTTTCTCTGAGAGTGAGATTGAATTTCATTAATATTACATAAAACAATTACATGAATTTCATGCTACATGAAAACTATGTGGTTCCTGCGTTGGCGTTTCTAATAACAGAAGATGAAAACTTTGGTTTACTTGAATTGTTACTTCATTAAATAAAATAATTTGTTGTGCTGCTGCTGTTTATTGCCTTGGCAAATAATCACTTGTATTAAAAACATCTAAGAGAGGTGGAGTTGAACATCTATGTGACCAAGAGTGGACTTTCTGACCTATAACATACCTAACTATGCCTGCCTACATGACTTGTTATGCATCTTTCAAAATGGAGCCCCACTGATGAGCACTTGCTCCACTGTATAGTCTCTCTCTCTCTCTCTTTTTTTTTTTTTTTTGGTACCAGGATTGAACCCAGGGGCACTCAACCACTGAGCCACATCCCCAGCCCATTTCTATATTTTATCTAGAGACAGGGTCTCACTAAGTTGCTTAGGGCCTCACTAAGTTGCTGAGGCTGGTTTTGAACTCACAAACCTCCAACCTAAGCCTCCTGAGCCACTGGGACTATAGGCGTGTGCCACTGTGCACCCAGTTCATTGTATAGTCTAAAATAAACCTAACAGAGATTCTTAGGTAGGTGCTAAAGTCTGATAGGTGCTAAAAGGAATCTTACAAAGCTCACCAAGATCCACCCTGATATTTATAAAATATCAGGAACCAATGTTAATATTTAAGGTAGATGGAGAAAATGTGAGCATTTTAAAGAGGAGTTACTGTAAGGATGCTAAACTATAAGAAGAAATAAAATAACCCTATAACTTGAAAACAACTGCACAAAACACTACAAAGAATATTCTTTCCAAAATATTGGAAACTAAGCTGTGAAAAACATTACCTGAGTTGTTTTTTAGTGGTATTATTTCTATAAAGTTCTCTTTCATTTTCCTGAGTGGGAGATAATATTGAGTAATTTAAGCATGTAGATGATTTTGTCTATTTAGATTTGATTTAAAAATTAACAGATCCCTTAATAGAAATATTGTATCTAAGTAATATTAGAAACATTGTTGTATATTATGTAGTAAATATTATAACAAATAATCACTCCCCAAAGTGCCTATGGATGACTAGCCAAATCTAGAGTTTCAAAAAGAAGTCAATATTTAAATTGTGGACTTAATTTCTAGCATATTTAAGGGTAATTTTTTTTAAACACTAAAGATTTTTGAAGTTTTATTTTAACATACATAAGGCTTTAGTTAAGAAGAATAAAACAATTCTAGTTTAGACCTAACGAATACACTTCTATAGATTTCATCTTTATATCAAGTATATTTTGCCTTTTGTTTTCATTGTCTGGCTATTTAAGCACAAGGTTACAAATCTCCCTCTATTTTGGAAATATTTTTACATACACCACCAAGCACAATTTTTCAATAGCAACGCAATGTCTGTTAGTTTTTAAAGTTCTGTTAAAAATATGTTTTACTTTGTAGAGTCAGGAAGCAGCCTGTTTCCAAAACGAAATGTAACCTCAACCTTTTGCCAAGGAAATCCCTTTACCTCCAGAGAAAATAATAATTTCCTTGACAAAAGGTTGGCATTCCATTTACYCTTCAAAACATACAAACACACTTCTCTTATTATGAATGAAAAATAGTCAAAGAGGCATCTTTGAAGCCAGGACCAAAAGAAAATCAAAGATACAAATAATTCCATGTATTGACTAAAATATTGTTTTTCAGTTTAATAWAGGGGGTAGGAAACAGCATACTTAGCTCTGTATTGCTGGACCAGCTATCACTGATGTGCTGGAATAGGCAGGACATAATTTAATTCATGAGCCACAGAAAGCACCTGCCTGGAGCTGATAGGGAATGTGGCAAGTCCATGACTTTTTCCTAAGAATTTTTATTCTGTTCAGACTTCTTATCTAAAAATAATCCTAATACTAATTTTCAAATATGTACATGTAATAGGCACATCACCCGCATTAACATTAGTCCTCTGCCACTCTCATGGTAACTTAATCCTTATTTTAAATGTCAAGAAACTGAGGCACAGAGATGAATAGCTAGTACCAGGGGAAAGCAGCAAACCCCTGATACAGAGACAACGTGAGAGTGCACCCTGGGTGTAGGGATGAACAGTCCTATACCCACCGTAGGCTTTGAGGGTTTCACTCACCTAATAAACAACAAGAGCATAACTAATAGTCACAACAACAGTTTCTCTTGTCAAAAAAAAAAAAAAAACACAAAACCAAAACAAAACAAAATCAAAAACCAAAACCAAAACGTTAGGTATGGTTCAGGAAACCGGGTTATGACGGGCAGGTAGAAAATGCATTTTTAAACAAGGAAATTTTTATCCAGTGGTTCAGATAAAAATGTTAATTCTTAAGAGTCAAATCTCTACCTATTGCAAAATTAAACTTACTCTCTGAGAATGGCAGATTCACAAGTATTACAGTCATATTGCTTCACTCCACTGGGGTCTTTATGGAGCCCTGATTTAGTTCACAGGACACGCAGGGCCAAGCTTTGACAGATTAGACTGTACGGTGCTTTGTGTGAGTTTACCAATGTTCTCTGGTATTCTCGACATTGGATTTGAGACTTCCACAGGAAAATAAAAACTTTTAAAAATTAAAACTAAGAGGTTCACGGGTAGAACATAATGGGAATTGATCCAGTAACATTTTTTTGCTTTGTACCTATAAAGCAATTGATGTAACTTATCAGCAGAACTTAGATGTAGCTCACATCATACAGAAAGTAGGCGCACAGTGTCGGCTGTGAGTAAATGGGTTTCCAGAGAGCTCCCAAGGGGATGACGTCAACAGAGAAGGTACTAGAACATGCCAAGTGAGGTCTCTGACCTTCAAATGTGCCACTTCGTTACGTCATAAATGAACCTGCTTCCTCAGCAGTGAAAGATGGTGTTTGCACAGATATTAGGCTGGGTTTTTCAAATTTAGCCCATTAGTTCCCTTCTGTCCTCAAACTCTCTTTTCCAACAACTCTATAAACTCTTCAGATTTTTATTCCCCTGCCTTTTTTTTCCTGGAAGGTGGTGTTGATCAGCAAATGAGTGATGAAGTGTTATGGTCCATGGGAAGGGGACAGTAGTCAGAATTCAGTTCTAAAACAATACATAGAGACTTAGGAGTCCCATCTGTGGGCCTCTTAGACATTCTACCTGGTAAAGGGCTTGGGCTTCTACTCTCTCTTCCTCTCTGTAGGGCAGTTCTCCCTCGAATCCCTCATGGGCTGGTTTGGGACCTGAGCCTCACTGTGCTCCCCTGGAGCTTTAGAGATAAGGTTATTCCTGGCTGCAGAACCTCGGTTAGTAACCAATTTCCCTTTATGTTATATAGAATCTTTCTTTGCAATCTGGAAGTCACTGTTTCAGGCCTAAACCACTCAGAGCCTTTCAGATATGTGCTTTTGCTAGCTTCAGATAGAGCCACTGTTTGGGGTCAACATCTCTGTTGGACTCATCAAGCACTGAGCAGAGGACAGGTGTATTCTGCAGAAGGGAGCGGCCAGAATGCTCGTGTAAACCTTGCACTGAGATGTTCCATCAGTCCCATCTTTGACATAAACACACAGAAGCATTGGAGTTTCCAAGTTTTATAGAACCAGAGTTGGAAAAAGCCAAATTCCAAACAGAGAAACAATGGCGCCAACCTTGGGTCGCCCAGACTGTAGCTCACACCCACGTACCTGAAATTGCCTGGACTGTGCACATCTGTTTTAATGGAGTTGACGGCATACTCTGGTCTGTAGATCCCACACCACACCTGGAGACAGGAGTAGAAAAAGCAGGCAGTGTGCTCAAGAAGGTGGGCAAATGCAAAACCAAGTGATCTCTGCATCCCTCAGCTACTGACTCCTCGGGTAATGTTTAATGAAGGGCAACCAGGGAAACAATCATTCATCACGAATATGACCTGACAATCTGTCATAAACAATGGGAGTTGGTGGAATCAAATTTCCTGCCACGAGTGATTAACATAAGACCACTCAGCATGCAGTGTCTAACTTACTGTGAAATCACAACTCAGAAAGGTTTTCATGTTTATCAGTCAAGAAGGAGGCGATACCTGGGCAAAGTTCAAGAAGAACAGTTGTCTGTGATTCAGGTCAAGTCCAGGAAGTAACTTCTCTTCACCATTCTTTTTAACATAATTCTGATAGGCCTGGGCGGTAAGTAAAATAGAAACATGCTTACAATTTCTAAATTTATATATAAACCTATTCAGAATACCATGTAAACAAGTAGTTTTACCTTTTATATCAAAATCACCCCAATACCTTTAGWTATGGCAATGTACAGCTATTTCCTAAATTATGAAGAAGGCTGGAATTTGCTTATAAGGGCAATGACAAGAGGCAATGATAAGAGTAATGATCAATAAATGCCAGCTGAATTAGAGGGTAACTTAAATAAGTGGGGAAAAAAGTACACACTTGTGGTTCTAGAGGCCCTGCCGGGGGGGCGGGTAGATTGCCAAGGGACTCATCTGCATCTGCTATGTTTAGCTTGGTTACTACTCTTGGCAAAACAGACTCACATTGGACTCATTTGAGTGTTTCTTGCCAAAACTCAAGGGAGTCTTCCGAACCCCTTGGAGGCCCAGGATCCTATGAATCTAGGGAATCTAAGCAACTATTCTGGCTCCCCAAAGATAGGCCAAAATAGACTAAATCTCAATTATGTTAAGAGAAAGAAATTTAGGTGATTTCAATGTCAGTAAATATTCTTAATCCGTAAGGATTTATAGACAGTTGTGAAAAAATTGGAGTTTTTCTCTATTGAATTTATTTCAAAAGGGATTGACAGCGAACTTTCTGAGATGTGTCATTTTCTGTTTCTTACAAAGGAAGGTGATTAATTAGGCCATACATTCCATTTCTTTCTGTTCCCCATCAACACAGAGTTTCTGAACCTCTAGGTGAAGACTCCGTGGTTAGGTGTGGGGAAAACTCCTTCTCTGGGAGCTCACGATCTAGCCGAGGGGCAACGCATTCATATAAAGAACTCACGTATTCAAAGTGTAATAAATTATTTGCACAACTGTAATTTGCTTCATTATTATAATTGTGTCCTGGCACTGGGTGAGGATCTCTGTGGAATGACCAGCAACTGTAGTTCAGAGCAGAGGATCCTCAGTCTGGCTGTATGTGAGAATCCACCACGAGGCTGCCAAGAGTGCAAAGGCCTCCCCCTTCCAGCCAAGGTGGGGTGGCAGGGGCTGGGTTTGCCCGCCCACTGAAATCACCACGTGACAGAAAAGATACGAAATAGTGATTGGCATGTCACTGAGCATCAGGCAAAAAGAAAAATGGTCCCTGAGAGATAGAAAAGAAACAAAGTGTGCATATGGCCGCCCTCTCTCGCTGCCTGGTGAGTTCAGGCCACATGCAGGGAGGGAAACTCAGCTGGACTGAGCTGAGGGGCAGCTGACAGTCTCGAGTCACCGGAAGTAAACACTGAAAAGAGAGAGAGGACATCAGAGGTCGCAGACGGTCACCCTCAAGTGCTCCCTTAGCAGAGATCTGAGATGTGTGCGAGCTACTCAGAGCCATGAAAGATGGCCCAAAAATCTGAGAGATGAGAGTGCCTGTCGCTCACAGGACAGAGGGGAAGCTGCGAGATTCACAGCAGGGCTCCCGACAGAGGGAATAACTGTCCCCAGCCTGAGCACTCTGCTAATGTCACTTAACAGTGTTGTAAAAGCAAAACCAAAGGTCAAAACATTTCTACAGAAGTTAACTCTACCCTACAATAAAGCTTGAGGATATTTATAGAAAAACAAGAAACAGTTCACACCCCAGGAGGTAAAATGCACAGTGTGTGCCATCCAGCCAACAGATGGCAGAAAACACACCAGCCAGCATTCTAAAGCAGGAAGGTGTGGGGACTCCCTGCTCGGGGACCTTCAGCTGCTCCAAGCCTCGGACTCTGATCATTCATGGTCACTGCTGCCTGCAGGTCCTCCATCGTCCCTGCACATTGCCCTGACAGTCACCAAGGTTCCCTTCTGCCCTCTAACCCGACATTCCTATGTGAACAAATAACTCTGCATACTCCTCCAGTCCAGGAACGCGCAATCTACCCGAGGCATTGAGAAGCTTGGTTCTAGGTCCCTTGGGCCATCTCAGGTGGACTCTGCTCACTCCCTCCTGCGTGTGCTCCCCTGGGATTGGGGAAGCACTCAGTATCACCCTCACTCCTCCTCGTTGCCTCCATGGGCACCCTTCCTCTACCCTTTTGTGAAAACCCCATGTGCGTCCTCTGTGCACATGGCAGTCCCTAGCCGGTCCTTTAGTTCTTAGATCATCAAATGACACCTTTCATGGAGGGTGTGTTGCTGTCTCTCCAGCACCCAGACTGGTGCCCAACCCAAGGCAGAGCTTTCAAGGAATACCTGTCAAAGGCAAGAGCAACGTAAGGCAGCTGAGACTCCCAGGATGCTGTGTTGACGACAGTTGGGCCAACGTCAAGGCCACGTGCTAGAGCCAAGCCAGCCCTAACTGCAGCACTGGAGACTCAGCGTGCTTCCTTGGCTCCTTGGCTTTTGGGAACCCAGGAGCATGGCGTTCAGCTCTGTCACATCAACCCTACTGACCTGTGGCTGGCCACAGTGAGGGTCCCCTTGCTCCTCACTTACATTCTTCATCTGCTGATCATAGTACATGTGTCTTTGCAAAGATCTTAAAATAAGTGGTTAAATATAATAAATATTCACCCCTCCTCATTAGAGTGAAAGAAAATACCATCACTCACTCTGTAGGCCTGGCCAATGCCTCCATTATCGGCAATGTTTTCTCCCAGTGTATTAAGTCCATTGAGCTGTCAAAAAAAAAAAAAAAATCCTCCATTAGGATGATCGTGCAAAGCGCCAGTGCTCACTCGTGAGTGAGTGAACACGCTGAGGCTCTTCTGAAGAATGTGAGTGACGTACGTGCTGCCCGCCTGCCAGGTCCCAGGTGAAGTTTCCGTACTGGTGCACCATGCACTGGGACAGCTCTTTGAAGTTATGTGCAGACTGTGGCGTCCACCAGTCAACGAGATCGCCATCTTTGTTAAAATTCCTGCCTGCAACAGATTTATTTAAGTCAAATGGAAACTCATTGCAAAAGTTGCTTATCTTTATCTTGCAGAGGCTGAAACATGGCTCTGTGGACAACACTGGGCTGGACAGAGGAGAGAAGTTGCTGTTCTCAACCATGGAGTGGGCAAAGCCCAGACCGTCAGCGCCTGCGGCGCTTGTGTGCCTGGGCTCTCGGTATCTAGACGAGGCCACAGACCCAACACCCTGCAATTGGCTTATGTTGTTGGGTGGCTTTACCTGCATGAATCTGCTGTATTAAGGCACCTGCCACATTCCCAGGCCCTTCCCAGGTCCTGTGGCTTCCCTCTACTTTGAGCACACCCAGCAGTCTCCTCTTTCTTCCAGAGCTCTCCTGCCAAGCCTCACCTACACTGATCTTTCCCTTTTCTGAGCTCTAACCACATTTCCACATACCGTGGTTTGATACTGAACTTTATCATCTTTTTATCTATAAACAGGAAGAGGGCTTCGGAGCCTCACTATTCACCCACTCGCCAACTCTACCAGTTCCTCGCTTGTGTCTGTGCACGAGCGTTTCGTGTGCTTCTGTTTGTGTTCCATTTGAAAAGTGCAAGCTGTATTTGCACCATTCTGCTAAGGCTGAGTTAACAGATGCTTAGCCAGGCTTTTTAAAAACTGTACCTCTTCTGTCACCTTCTTCTCTATGGCTCTCCAACCTTGGGTCATGTTAATGCTTATTTTTTTGCTGTTATTCTCTTCCTACTATTTTTCTACTTGTGAAATAATCCTGTTATAATTTCAATTATCACTTTACACACCTCTGTTTCTCTCAGCTTTCATTGAAACTCTAAATCTACTTTGCCATTTAGGGCAGCATATAAACATGTAAGTGTCTATTGTTTGCACAGGTCTAATCCATGTAGTAGGTTTAAGATTTAAACAGAACATCCCCAACTGATAGCAGCTTAATAGTCTTATGGGCACCTGGATAGGAGAGGTCTTCAACTTTTATTTTCTCTTTTTAAGACATGACCCTGCCCTCTAGGATCACTGTGCAGCCAGGGAAGAAGACCCACACCACTGCTGGTGCCCACCAGTGCCACCGTCTCTTCTCAACGTGCTTCACTCTCACAGTGCCCAGCACACATCGATCCCCACGCTAGTCAGCATCTTGTGATCTTCTTAAGCAACAATTTAAAGGGAACTCTGAGAGTATAATCAAACTTAGGGCGATGATACACTGACGAACAAGTGTAGTGTTCTACTGCTACGTTATAACAACTCCTGACCAGATTTAAGGGGATGTATCTCAGCCAAAGGAGGATGCCAGCTGGGCTTTACCATTATCATCGAAGCCATGGGTGATCTCGTGTCCAATGACCATGCCGATGCCCCCGTAGTTCAGCGAGTTGGACTGGTGGGCACTGAAGAAGGGGGGCTGCAGGATCCCCGCTGGGAAGACTAGAAGAGAGAAACTGGTTGGAGGTCACTGTGGCCTTATTTGTCGCACAACACCAGGCCTGGGCCTGGTTGTCCCTTTGCTTGCTAATGTGTTACCACTCTGCCAGTGTTATGTATATAAACACTTTCTGTGACAGAAACACATGCCACTCTTTTATTACTGATAGCAACAAAGAGATCAGCCTGGAGCGGCACCATAATCTATGATTTATTCATGGCAATCTACTTTACGATCTCTTTTTAAGATTGTTTTTTGCTGTAAGGAATTCTGGACCAGGAAAATTTATAATCTACATTCAGAAGGTCCTTTTCCCCTTGTAAAAATTTGGAAGAAGTAGTTACTCAATAACGCAGCACTTCTTCTGATGTTACCTCTAAAAATGTATCCATCTACGACAGCATCTGAAATCCACAGTCATTCCTTCAAAGGTGTCTCTCCATCACAGAACCCTATTTTACTTTCATCAAGGCACCTATAATCCTTCTTTGTTTATGGCTGAGTCCTTGCTTTCCCTCTAATCCCCCCCCCCCTCAAATTTCAGCCCTTGGAGCCAGAGATCTGTGTGACTGAACACACCCTGTTTGTGGCTTTCTGGCTCATCTGTGTTTAAGCTCCTCATCTCAGAACCGCCACACAACAGTGCCAGGAGCACAGAGGGAGCTGGGAAGTGTGCTGATGAAAGAGCCATCGTGGTAAGTGAATACACGGACAATGATGTGGTCCTGAAAACCTCAGTAAGCGAACTGGAGTCCACCTTGACGAGCCCACGTACTTGCTGACCTTCTGTACTGGGATGCAGCACCCCGGGATGCACCTTCCCTTCCTCCTAGTAGCGTCCACCCTTCATCTCTGGTGGTCTGACTACAGTCAGCCTCAGAATTGTTCATTTCCTGATTGGTCTTTCCATTTCCTGTCTTACCCATGGAGATCTGCCCTGATTCCAATCTAGCCTCTTAATCTAAGTGTGGCTTAACGTGCAGCCCTGGTCTTGGATTCTCTGCTGCAGAGACACCCCCGGTGGCTCTCCATGCTCAGCAACTGAACACTGCATCTTGTTCCTGGTCTCTGGCTCCGTCATCACCTCCTACTCTTCTGTGTCCTTCTTCTTCCTGCATCACTCTCTCTATGACCCTCTTATATTAAAGTGCCCAATGACACTTTCACTGCTGTAAAATAAACTCACAAGGTGCCTTTATTCTCTTGCCTTGGAATATATTTCCCCTGTTGAACAAAAAAGATCTCTGCTTTTGGACAATGCTATTTAGAAGTGGTTAATCTTTGACCTTGTAAATGAATTAAAATCAATGCTTACAGTTTTGTTATTTTTGCCTTTCATGCTTTAAAATTCTACTCTCCATTGAGTAACTGAAATATCATGTTCTGTAACTGAAAAAAAAAAAAAAAACTTCAGCAACAATACCTGTTGCATGCAAAGCCCTGGGTTGTTGCTTTGTGGTCCATCAAGAGTATAAGAGAGGGACTCCGACCATAAGAAACTTAAGAGCTGGTTCACATGAGCAGTAATGTTTCTTTGTCTTATAGATAGGCTATACATGACCTAACCTTAAATGGATTTCAGGGACAAATATTAGTTATTTGCACAGGAGACTTTATAAACACCCTAAATAATTTAATTGCTCCCCAAACTGTTAAAAAATTGAAAAGTTGCCATCACACTGAAATGGCAAAATAATTAAAAAAATACTTTGTCCTTGGAGAATTTTGATGAAAGTTATACCTCACGTGTAGCTGCCTGAGCTAAACAGTGCCAAGAAATTATTTTTAGCTTAAAGTCTAAAAATTATGTGCAGTACTTTATTAACTTACAGTGAACACGATCTCCCACACTATGTACTTTGATTAAAATCCACCCATTATATAAAATGCTCTTATGAAATGTGCTCTCAAGACTAAACATTAACTAAAGATCCTGCTGACTTAATTGTACCCTTCGATGTCATTCTTCAGGCAAGAGATAAGATTTTTATGGCTCATATTAAATACTAGTCTCCAAGTTCAACTTTGCAAATTATGACCTCCTCTTTTACTCTGTCAGCCAAATCCCTGTAATGAGGATTTTCCCTGCTGGTCTTATCGCTGTTGCTCATGAACTTCACGACTGTTGTTTATTAGCAATTGCTCGGTTGTGCATTTTTTAATGTTCATGATTGTCAACAAGTTAATTAATTAAATAAGTCACTGGTCCATGAAGCAAATGAGTGAGTTTCCTCTGCCCTCTTCTCAGTCCCATCACCTCTGCCTTCGCACTTTGTCTGGTTTATTTTTTTTTTAAGGCTGCAAGTAATTCAATTTTAGAATATTTCTTATAAATTCAAGTTTGCACTCAGGTAATTTTTTTTTTGTACCAGAGATTGAACCCAGGGGCACTTAACCACTGATGGCCATATCTCCAATCATTTTATTGGAGTTCAAAGCCAACCTTGCTAAATTGCCGAGGTTGCTTTGAACTTGTGATCCTCCTGCCTCAGCCTCTTAAGTGCTGGGATTATAGGCGTATGCCTGGCTAGGTAATTTTTTGTTGTTGGAAAATGATTAAACATTCTTTTTGTATTAAATGAAGTAACATGTTTGGAAACACTTAATTGTTAAGCCTGAAACCAATACTCTCAAGAATGAAAAAAAGATATTTTAGAAAATCTAATTCAAGGTATTCAGAGGCCACATGGTCTGAATACATGACACAGCTCAGACATTTCTGAAATTGAAAAAGGAATTGATGTAAAAATTTGATTTAGTTTTAATGAAAAAGGAGAACACCACCGTGTTAGGACTTTCCATCTGACTTGATCAATTCCTTGAGTCAGATTTTTTACATTCAGAATGATGCCTGAATAGTGCCTGGAATTTACAGAGAAATGCTTGACAAAATATTCACGTGCAGCTTTCCTAAGGGCGTGATGTGGGAGGATTCCGGAGCTCTGGGAAGCAGGTGTGCTGGGAAGGGGAGCCCTGAATCCCATACACTCGGTGTGCCTTCTGGCTCTGGTAACTGTGTTGATGTGAAGTGGAGGGTACCTACGAGTTGGGATGTGTCTACTTCTATGAGTTCTAACCAAAGGTAGGAGTCAATGGAAAAGCAGAAATTATTGATATGAGTCACTAACTCCCTTTGTGATAATAAAACAAGTACTTTTTAATGTAACAACATAAGACAACCCATTGTGTGAGAACTGTATGCAGTGTAATTTGGGGTATGTGTGTGGCAGGGGTCATTTATGTGGCACACACTTGGCATCGATTCTGAGATGGGTATCACATCACACCCATTAAGATGCTGTGGCAGAAGGTGTGTGGGTGTGTACATGTGCATCCCCCCGCCACACACACATATTTACCAAGGAGGAAGATGGGGAGATGAACCTTCACTCATTTTTAGTCAAGACTCCCCACTTTGAAAATTTAAATGCATCATTAAAGAGAAAAGTGCACATCTCAAAGATATCCCCTCCTGACTGACAGTTTCCCCTTCTCTGAACTGCTGTTATTAGCAGACGTGCACAGGAAAAGAGCTTAATGTTTTTTATTCATATTTTCATCAGAGGAGTTTATCTTGAAAATTTTTCAAAAGGTCTTTCTTATGAATTAAGAATTTAAAGCCAATTTCTAGATTTTCCAGATGATAACTGACTACTCTGTGAAATGTTAGCCAACCTCCCCCCCACCTTTGCCTTCTCTTTCCTTTGTGTGCTTATTTGGTGTGAAGATACTAAACTCAAAATGAGAACATTCCCAGCTCCTCTCTGAACAGGCAGTCTCAGAAGTGAACCCATTTTGAGCCCCTGGGACTTGGGGTAGTTCAATCATGCAGGTTCCTGTCCTAACAGGCTCTGGAGAAAGGCCAAGGCCTGGCCAAGCCACAGTGGTCCTACAGGGTCTGTCTGGCTCCTGTCCTTGAGAATGAATCACCCCTGGGTCTGATAGGCTCTGGAGTCCTCCCAGAGTGGGAATGAAGTGAGGTTATGCCCATTGCTCTGCCCCAGTGCAGAAATAAGGGTATGGCTGCTTCACCCTGCTCTGCGATTACACTGCAAGTTATCTCTGCTCTCTGAGTTGCAGTGAAGTATGAACTAGATCTTGCACTGACAGGAGGACTGAATATAATTGAAAGGAGGTCTTCAGGGGCCAGGGATGCAGCTCAGTGGTACAGCATGTGCTTAGCATGCACCAGGGGTTCAATCCCCAAAGGCACTTATAAGAAAGATCTTCAAAGAGAAGATCCTCCAGAGATAAAGGCATTTGTAAGAAAAGTCCTGACAGGTCTCTCTAGAAATACATTCCACAGGACTGACTGCCAGGATTCTAAGTAGATGATTGTTGAGCAGGTTTGGTCTAGGTCTGCCAATCATTTCTCTATCTGGAAAACAGATTAGCCCAGACTTGGAGCCAACTGATTTTAACTTCAGTATACATGTCTTACTTATTATCTTTATGTTATGTAAAGACAATCTTTTCTCATTACTTTATATAATTCATTTTCATGTCATCCACCAAAGAAAATTCCAGATGTATTCAAGTTTTTTTCCAAAAATAGAAACCATAAAAATACTAGAAAAAAAAATGTTGATAACTTCCTAATGTTATCTGTTCCTAAGCTTAAAGGCAAATGGGAAAGGCATAATCAATGTAATTTTTTTCTTTTCTGGTCAAAAGTGGTTACGTAAATACAATTCCAAATGGTTCAGCCTAATACACTTTAGCTTTTAATGGTTTGAACTCCCCAAGGCTTTTGGAAGGAGGATGACATAGACTGGAACCATTTCCACTTGAGCTAGCATAACCACCAGGAGACCTTGATCTATAAAAAGTTGACTCCTTGAACTTGAACCATTTCAACATGTTGATGCTTAGGAAGTCTGAAAGTCAATATAACTTTACAGAGATATATATTTAATGGACTTTTAGAAAGTACTTAGAAATTAAATAAAAACCACTTGGAAATAAGATAAACTGTTTAGCTATAAATGGGAACATTGTAACAAAACCAAAACTCCTTAATGTGATTTGTACTGATTTAAATTTTGCCATTCTAGTAAAAGAAAGGCACGTAGATACATCTACTTTCAAGAAGTATATTCAATAAACCAAAAAGTCAGCCTCAGCTCTGGGGTTTTGGGTATTAGAAATCATCCACAGGAGCACGGTGGGCTGGCACAGTGGGGAACACATCTTACCTATCTGGTTTCTGCCTGAAGAATAAAAGGCATTGACCACGGCTGCTCCGCTTATCCACCTACGGAAGACACAAGAACTGGTTAACAAAAGACAATACATCATCCAACTCCATCTGCTCACTATGATAAAACATTACCATTCCTAGAGGAATGTGAACTTTCTGTTTGAAATAGGATAAGCAAACTAAAATGAGCTCATGATGTGAGAGCTCATTGGAAAGGATTTCTATTTCTTAAAAATTCAGCACAGGGCTGGGACCGTAGCTCAGTGGTGGAGTACTTGCCTACCATGCCTACCCAGGCACTAGGTTTGAGCCTCAGTACCACATGAAAATAAATAGATAAAATAAAGGTATTGTGTCCATCTACAATTTAAAAGCATATTTTAAAAGAATTTTGGCATATATCCAGGTCCGTGACGATGTGGTTTTTTACAGAGGTATCAGACAGTGCAAAACCCATGGCGTGTGTCTGTTCAGAAACTACAGTGGGTTAAGGGTATATCAGGATGTGTTGGCTTTATTTTCCTAATATTAAATAACTATGTCATCAGTTCAGGAGCATTTGACAAAACGCTTCAGATTCAAGTATCTTTAAAACCTTTTAAAATTCTAATTTACAAAGAGTCTTTTTGGGAGCTATGATATCTCAGGTAATTAGCTTGGAACAATGCATCTCTTATTATGGGCTCTTAAAGCTGTTTTTTTTTTTTTAATGCAACATTCCAACTAATTGAGCAAATGTATATCTCTGAATGACACTAAAGTGGTCACCAGTCGTCTATACCTGATTTATGCTCTGCAGAGAATCAAGAGATTTTATAAAAAATACACTCCCTGACTGCAGGAGACTGGTTTAGCTGAGATGAGAACAATGCACAAATAACTATAATAAAAGATTGAATTTGAAAAATGCAAAAAATAGCTTTCAAACAATAATTTGAGGACTGAAGGATAAGAGCTAATGTCTCTCATGTCTTTCTGCTCAGATGTTTTGAAAGATGTACATCAACAATTGTGCTAAGCACTTGTGTGCAACAAGAAAAATATTCCATTTTAATAGACTACTCCATATATATTCACTGGAATGCACCCTGCTGGACTTCAGATAACCTCTTAAGCATCATCACCCAGCAGACACTCGGACAAACACATACCATTTTATCTAATGCCTTGCTGTGGTTATTCCATGTTCAGGGCAACACTTAGTAAGACAATTATTACCCTTTACACACAAGATTACAGTAATCTGCACAATGAAGATAAATCAACTGTTCCCAGAGTCAACTTCCCAGATCAGTAGCACCCAAATCAGCACCTGAGTCACAATGTGAGGGAGGTACTGTAGAGGTCAGACTGAGTACTATTCTGATCTCCGCAATGGCAGGGCCACATACAGAACAACTGTCTGGTGCGTCCCAAGTGTGGTATTTGTGTGTAATCACAGGATGAAGGATGCAAACTTCTTATTTATTCTGTCCAGTTCACCTTGTGTGAACTCGTCCTTAGGAAGATAATCAGGTTGGAGGTGGGGTGAAGGGCTGGTCTGTGTGTTTCTCCCTTAGTTACTTAGTTGTTTTAATTAGAGAAAAGCATTCTTAAACAGACGGGACACCAGATTCATCAGTCCTCCCTAAGGTCCTCACAGCTGTGACATCAATATTTTAATATTTCTTGCAGGCTGATGATTACAAGAATATTTATTTTGTATTTATTTTAATTACACTTCCACTTGCTTCCTACACAACTAGTGGCGACTCACTACAGAAATGTGAATTTTCAAACCCAGGAATGCTGAACTAAAACCGAGAAAGCAAAAACTGAGAAAGAAAAAACAGAAGGATTTCATTTTTGTGACTTACAAATATTATAAAATAGGAATATGTATGTAAACAAAAGTCATGATCAGGAAAAATAATATATGAAAACTATGTTCACTTATATTACATGGGTGCTATGGCAGGGGTTCAAATGTGGCTCCAAGCAGCTGGCAAGAAGGTCAAAATGGAAAATGTGTTCACACTGCTCCTGAGAAAACAAAGGTCTTCCTGATGTGTCCCCTACCCTTGGACAGCAAACATGGCAACAAAATTGATGTATCAATTGCTCATAATTATTAAAACTGTAATTGCTATAAAGCTAATATAATATGTTTCCTGGTCTTGGCAGATTTCAGGGTTGTTTCTCAGTGTTGAACCTCTGATGCAGGGACAGCAAACTCTGCATGGACTTTTGTGGGTAATTACAAATAAAATGTGCATATTGTTTGGCTCTGAACAGTGAAAAATTCTAATAATGAAACAGGAAAAAGTATCAATTCCAATGGTTTTAAAATTCAGTGTTTTTACAGGAGAAGAATCAAACACACGAAACCAGCGCTACAGACCAGACCTCAAGAGCAGACAGASACGAATGGGGTGCCTAAGACATGACTCAGCCCGTGTTTACTGCTTTGGTAAAAATAAGCATCGAGCCTTTTGTTCTAGAGGACTGTGTTCTTCTGATACATTACGTTTAGAGCTGGAGATTGCATTTTGATTAATGCCTGTGACTTTCCAGCAGGGAGAGTTTTACATATTAAAGTGTCCACTGTGAATTATTCCTTCGAGAAAACAGGTGGCTATTTATGGCCATGCAACACTCAAAATAAAACTTGAATATACCGGCAGAGTTTGCGGAGCGCTCGTGTGAGCACCTGCCTCACCTTCTTTGAGGTCTTCCGTGATGCACCCTCAGAAGACTCTGGGGAGTTACCCAGAGCCCAGAGCACAGGCATTTTGTCCCTGGCCATGTTCAGAACTTGAAGTCCTGTGATCAGATCATCACGTCTTAAACAGGGGATGATAAGATCGATACACCCTATGGCTGACGTCCAGTCCACCAGGAACTACCCGGCTACGTCAACACAAAAGCTAAATTAACAGGGCAAAGAAAGTACTTTCCAGATTAAGCGGTGATATGGCAACTAAATTCCTATGACTTGGATTCATCTCCATCAGTGGAGAAGCTTTCACTCAGGAAATGCAGACAGTCGGCGGTGACAATGCCCTACAATAGTGGGCAGTGTACCTCTCCAGAAGGTGCCTCTAGACCTCCACTGCGCAGGACCAGGCCTGGCCAAAGTGCCCTGTCTGTGCGTTTCTCCTCCTGTCTCCTGTGTGTACGAGCTTGGGGGTGTGGGGGACTGAAGAGCGGAAACTCAGGAAGAAACTTGAGTTTTCCTTTCTGAGATGAGAATTTTGTCAGGGAACCTTATTTGGGGCATTCAACAGTAGAACCCAGAAGGGCTGCCACAAGCCACGTGGCCCTTGCAGCCAATGTGGGTGGGGAAAAACGACAGAAGACCACTTGGGAGAGGGACCAGGTGTTTCTCACTACTTCTCATTACCCTGAAGAAGCTAAGCAGTGATGACATGAACGCACGGACATCACTTTTATAGCAGGGAAGAAAAGCAGAAATAGCCAGATCCCAGAGGCTTCTGGAGACGATAAGCCCACTGGATTACAAAGCACTTGAACAAAATGTTTTCTTTCCTCCACTCTTGTGGAACTTCAAGACTCAGAAAGAACACAGAACTGTTAATACCCCTCCTTGCAAATGTTCAGCTTCTCAGCATCTAGTAGTCCCAAGGCACCTCCTTTGAAGGCAGCCGTTCAATAGATTTCCTATGACTTGCTCCAGTGCCCTGGGTGGAAGGAGAAGTCCCATCTTGCAGTCGCAGTCATCATTGTGTTCCTTACCAATATCCTCTCATCCAGACGGTAATGTTTTCTACATACTTTTTTTATTCGTCTTGCAAATCATGCCTTACACAGATGTCACCTCTCATTTGCAGGTGTAGAAACAGGCACAGCCCAGTTACTAAACTCTTTGCAAATATGCACAAAAACTAAGTGATCGAGCTGGGAAAAGAATATTTAAACCTGCTCATCCTCCTCTCAGATTCCCCACTGTGAGTCTGCTGATCTGCATCACACACAAAATTTTATCAGGACCATCAACGCCATTTTTCTTGTTGACCTCTTTAAATATGAAGAGGATCATTTCTTACCACTGTTAAACGCCTCTGATCCTCCACACCCAGGCCAGTGAAGAATGCTGGCCTCCACCCCACCCTGAAGGCATTCTAGAAGACCCACCATGACAGATCAATCATGGCAACAGCAGCTACTGTTTGGTGGACACCCAAGCTATGCACCAGGCACACTGTCTGACATAACATGGGCACCAGGAGAGGAAAAATCAATGCCACTAACCCCTGTTTGCAGAGACAAAGACCCAAACCAGAGCTCATCCATGTTCATTCAGCAAAGTGGCAAAACGGGAGCCTGAACTCAGGCCCACTAGCCCAACGAACCACTCCACATCTCACCCTGACTCCCCAGCATGTGCTCTTTCCAGTGTTCCCTTAGATGCAACTTCTTGTGTGTGTGTGTTACGCGCGCTGGGGACTGAACCCAGGCCCTTGGGCAAGCTAGGCAAATGTTCTAACCACTGAGCTACCCCAGCCCCAGATACAATTTTCAATTCAAAAGCTAAAGCACAGTAGAACCAAAGAATGTCACTGAGCTGATCCGCACTGCGGTCCAAGCATGGTGGGCACAGCTTTAGCCCTCTGCACCTCCCAGGGCCTCACCCGAGTGAACTCTCATTCTGGTGGCGACACCGGAGAGTCCACTCTCTTTTGAGAAAAGGTTGCTTTTTTTCCCTATCATCAGCTGTTTGTGTGTGGCTCTAAGCTTGGTGACAAGGCATGATGGTTTCAGCTTTGATGACTCCCTCTGCCTGTCTGCGCACCTCTGGGCACACAGCATGTGGTGCCAAATTCAGAGAAACTCCCAATTATGGAGACATGAGGGTGGGTGGGTCATTTCTGTCCTTACTTTTTCCTCCTGATTTAAAGTAATCCTGGGGACTTCTAGGAAAGACTTAAAACCTCTTCCATCCCACATGACCCTTAGCACTTACCTAACACGACATAAAGCTGTTGTCTGTCTAGCTCACTGGACGGCAACTGGAGGGGACCTTCCAGGTTTGGGTCACTGAATCCCTAGGGCTGGAGCAGTACTGGGAACTTGGCAGGCACTAACACATACTTGGGCCTTGGTATATCAGTGGGTCCTCCTCTGTGGGCCCACGGGCAGACCAGTGACATGTGACCCTGGGAGGGCAGAGGCACTGCTGCTCCACAGACTGCAGAGAGCAGTGGCAGCAGGAAGCCACAGCCTCTGAACATGATCCTCCTGAGGGACCACCTAGAGTAAAACACCAGAATCCCTCTGAAAAGTCCTTCCACTTTAAATGGGACAGGAAGACCTAATTGAGTTGTTCAAGACTGAAATATGTATTTACAGAATAAACCCTGTTTTTAAAACTTCAACCTTTAAATCATTCGGCTTCCCTCCCAACCTCCTCTCCCCTTTCCGAAAACAAAACAAAACAGCCTCTCTTGGATGCTAATTAAAAAATGTTTTTGCAGATAAAATATGTTTTGCTTACAGCCCCAAAACATGTTGCAAAGACAGCCGGCTTTCAGGGAATATCAAAGATGGAAATCTGCATGCTTAGAGCATGAGCGGGCCATGGGGACGCAGCCACAGGGAGCTGCCATGGTGGTGCAAGTCCAGTCTAAGGCTCAGGCCTCCTGGCTGGGGAGCGCTCACTCAATGAGTCAGGAATCTTCTCTGCTCATCTTTCCCATGAACGCGAGTCTACGCACTTCCACTGGACCCACTCCATAGCCTCTCCTCCCTGCGGCCACCACGGTGGCCCACGTTCTGCATAACTGGTTTCCTTTTATCCAAGTTGAAGGACCTCATTACAAAGAAGACTGGTTCTAGAAACGCCAGTGAGGGGCAAGTCAGAAGCCTGGCTTAGAGGTGAGGCCCTTCCCGCCTCTCCAGAGTCGGTCTAAGCTCCTGGGGTCACTCAACTGGAGAAGGAAGCAGGTAAACGCTGCCCTGGCTCTGATCAAACCTTCCCCGTCAGGTCACAGACGGTGCAGCGGCTGAGCGGTGCTGTCACTCTGCTGGCACTCTTGGTGAGGGGGCCTTTCAGGAAGGGCCAGAGAGTCACAGACCTTGGCTGCCAGCTCTCAGAGTCGGAAAAACCGCTGGCTCCAAACACACAGGACAGCAGCATCCACCATTTCTGTTCTGCTTTGAGTGACTCCTTTGTTCACCTTGACATTGATCTCAGCGCTGACATGCTGCTGCCAGGGAAAGCTTTACTGGTGTGTAAAGGTCTAACGGTGGTCTTAAAAAACACGCTGGGCCAGCACTTGGCTTCCCTGTGCTGCACCCACCATGCGCGCCCCCGCCGGGGCTGGCCTCCCTCGCCTGCCTCCCCCAGGGGCTGCGGACTCCCAAGTGGGGGCAGCTCCTATCCAACCCTCCGTCCTCTGCTCTGGTCAGCACAGGGCTTTGCTGAAATAGCTGCTGTCAAGCTTCCTGGGCTTTATTTTGATGAGTAACAGCAGGAGAGACGCAACCATGACATAAGCCTTTGTAGTTCAGGGAAAGTGAGTCCTGGGCTCAACGGTCAGGATTCATAAATCCTGGGGCCACCTGTCACAAGCATATCAGGAAAGTTCTGTCCTGAGAAACTTGACAATGCAGCGTCAAGTCTAAGGGGCTCCTCCAGTTTGTTCTTGAGCATGCTTCGCAGAGGCTTATTTTTGTTCTATGTGCATAATCATGCTACTAGAAGTAAATGATTTTAGCTCTATTACCAAGTAATTCTGCCAGTGGATATTGTATTCCCAGCTCAGCACTATTTCTCCCTGACAACCTGGTGGGCTTGAAATTCTTTACCACCTGGCACCAGATCCCCAGAAGACACTCTTGACATGACTTCAGGAATATAGACCACGCACTTGTAAAGTCCCTGTCCTGCCGTGGTGCCAGCTACTCCTACAGGAAAAGGGAGGCCCTTCCAGTCAAAGGGTTCACTTGGCTTGTATGATTATGTCAAAATGGACCCCAATATTATGTGTAACTATAATGTACTAATAAAACAAACAAATAAATAAATAGATAAAAAATAAACTGTAACTAAAAAAAATGAGTCTGTAGTTTGGGTCTTGGTACCTATGGTATGGAGGTTTTGGGGAGACAGATAGATATAGGGGGAAAAGATGATTAAATTTGCCTAGATGGCAAATCTGGGTTGGTGGGACCATAAGGGTCCACATATCAGCCAGACCTCTGGGCCCAGAGCTCAGCACATGGACCTGGGCCAGCTGCAAATCCTCGCCTGTGATGATGATGGCAGAGGGGGTCAGGAAGCACAGGAGTTTGCCCCTTGAGGGCAGGAGACAGTGCAGGGAGAAGAAAACGCCCAGAACTCTCCTGTTTGATGAACCAAATTCCTTTAATCAGTGCCATGAAGCTGTTGCATATCCTTGTTTCCCTGAGCACCCTACAAAGTGGCCTGCAGCAGCCAATAGCCTCATCTCTGTCCCTACAACTTTGGGCACAGACAGATGTCTCTCCTGCAGGAAATTGGGAGTGAGGATCTTGAGCAACCCAGGTGCCAAGGACTAGGTGGGCCAAGTGGAGACCACACACTTCATCTGAAAGTGCACCATGGAGACCTGACGTTGATGCTACATGAGGGAAGAAAACAGGACTGTGAAGCAAAGTGAGCTACAAACCTTCCTGTAAGAAGCCACAGTAAAATAAGAAGCACCTTCACCATGCCCCATCCTACAGGCCTGGTCCAGACCACACTGCCCTTGCTGTCAGAGGGTTTCTGATGATTTTGGAACAGAAATTAAATCTCAAATCCAGCTTGTCAAATTAAATGCATTATTTTGTGAAAAATCCCATAAAACTAAATATCAACAAGAATGATACAAAAAGAAACCAACACTAAGCCAGGTCCTTCTGCTCCAGGGTGGGGTGGTACTTAAGAAGTTCAGTACCTGGGTCCCAGTCACAGAGCAAATGCATTACAGAACAATCTAAGGAGACAGAGCTGGAGAAGGTAGGTTGGTTTTTTTGGTTTTTGGGCTTTTTTTGGTAATATTTTCCCAGATGATTCCAATGTGCAGCCAGAGTTTTGCATTTCTATACTCAGTGATACAGGCAAAAATTTAAAAAAAGAGAACTTGGCAAGGTATGGTAGAGAAGACCAGAGAAGTAACATTGTACCCATGACTAACAGAAACCCATGGAAAGGACCCCAAAGTCTACAGAGGCGCACATGCCGTTGATCAATATTCATTAAAACACTGTGCTCAGTTCTGGCTTTTGATTATCCATCTTAAGGTGAGAAAGGCTCAGAGAAAATGAATACATATGTTGAAAGGGAAGACGCAGGGTAAACTATATTAAAAATAACTACAGGATGGAGACAACCTTACTGACTTCAAAAGAAAATACCAAGCAGTAATTCAACTATTTTTAAAATCATAAAAACAAAAAATCTCAATCTTAGGGGTGTGGGTTATTTTAGTCAGAAAGACTTTAACAATATCTGTTGGTAGACACTTTACAGTGCTAACAAGTATTAAATCTAAGTATATGTATTTTAAAAGAAATAATAACATTCAGTTCTAAGTGCCAGAAAGGAACAGCCCCTGCTCTCCAGAGGTGGGGTGCCTGGGGAGAAAAGGGCCACCAGAACAGCTCTGGGGATTCGGGTGCACAACAGGCACACTGATAAAGAGGTTAGATGCATCCCTTAAATGGAAAAATAAACACTGTTCATATGAAGTACTGATGTCACTAAGGAGCAGTCAAAGCTCCCTAAAGACTCCTTTCTGGTATTTCCTGCTTGACTACAGCAGGGTTAAAAAAAGTGCTACGTGAGCCAATCCCTGAAGGGGATGGAATTGTTGGAGGTCCGATGGGTTGAAAAAGGTGAGCTGTCAGCAGAAGAAAATTCCAGGAGGAGGCTTGAAGGAGCTTTGGGTTAACCTAAGCTAAGGTGTTCTTGAGAACACCTTGCCCATGTGGGGGGCAGAGGTGTTGAAGGGACGGGGAAGTTAGAGATAATCCTCAGGAAAAGGCTCACACTTGGCTAAATTCCTGACCCATGTTAAAGTCCTCTAAGCTGCTCCTAGAGGACACTGTACTCTCACGTTCTAAGCACCTGGGGTAGGAAGAGGAGGAAAAGGACCTCCTCTGATGAATACGTTGGAAATAGAATCTACGTACTCGTCCTTGTCCACCTTTTCCCGGAGCTTCTTCAGCTGTTTACTTTGGATGAATTTCAAATTTTGAATTATGTTCTCAAAGTATTCATCTTCTTTGTAGTTCAACTATAATAAATAAAAGATTTGGGGGAGAATTATTAAAGCCAGTATCTGCAAAAGTTTCACTAGAAAACACATTTTATTAAATCCTATCCTTTAATAAAGTTAAGAAACAGCATTGAAAACTTACCAAAGGAGGGTTATTTCCAATTAGCTTGGTGCTAGAGTAGAAGTCAGCACTGTTCTAGATGGATCAGAGCTACATCTTACTCTTTTGTAATTAATCAAGTGAAACAGGGTCAGACAAGCCTTGTGATGTGATATGAATCCTCACATCACAGATGAGGATAAGAACACATCCTTATTTAGCACCTACTGTGTGCCTGGCAAAGAGTTCAGTACTTTAAACACATATTATACTCATTAATCCTCATGGTAATCCACAGAACTTAAGGATGTCATCACCAGACAGTTTAGTCACTCGTCCAAATCTAAAGCAGTAGAGGATTGTGGGTGGGACTGCAAATTAGTACAACCATTCTGGGGAGCAGTATGGAGGTTCCTCAAAAGACTACAATTGGAACCACCATATGACCCAGATATCCCACTCCTTAGTATTTATCCAAAACAATTAAAATCAGTATACTACAGGCACATCAATGTTTATAGCCGCACAACTTGCTATATCCAAGTTTTGGAACAAGCCCATGGGTCCGTCAATGGAATGATAAATATTATATATATATATATATATATATATATATATATATATATATTATACACACACACACACACACAATAGAGTAATACTTAGCTATAAAAAAGAATGAAACCATGGCATTTGCTGGTAAATGGATGGAACTGGAGAACATTATGCTAGTGAAATAAGCCAGACTAAGGAAAAGTCAAAGGTTGAATGTTTTCTCTCCTATGGAGAAACTAGAGAGAAACAAGGAGTTTAAAGAAAAGGCAGGGTTGGGGAATCCTATGAAAATAGAAGGGAGATCAGTGAAGTGGAGGAAGGAGGTATAGCAGGAGGGAGGAGGTTTGGGAAAAAGGGGGAATTGCATAATGAAATTGACCCAATTATGCTAAATACATGTATGAATATACCACGGTGAACTTCACCTTTGTGTATATTTGTAATGAATAATACTTAACAAAAACCAATAAATTTTAAAAATGTGGTGGAACTGGGTGGAGCCCAGGGAGCTTGGTGTGGGGTCCCTGCTCGGCCACCACATTTGCCACTGCCCTTGCATCACAGGGGCCTGGGACATGCAGGCTGCAGATAGCTTGTTTAAGAGAAAGTCAAGTTTTTCTGCAAAAGGAAAAGAGGAGGGAGCGTGCGAACCTCCCTATTAGACTAGCAGTCAGGGGCCGGGAGTCACTGTCATCTTGAATCCTAGAAGCTTCACTTGGCTGTCACCTGGATGCCAGGTGGTGACAAGTGGTGCTTTAGGTGCTTCAGGTGAGCAGCTGTAGTGACCCTGATCAACTCTTCTCTTCCAACTCATATGATACCAGGGGACAATGAAATGGCTTCTGGTTCTCAGAGACTGTTTACTTTGTTTATTCAGCAGAGGAGGCATGACTTGGTTTCCGCAGTGGGGGAATAAGAAGGAACCTGAGGCTGTGACTGCAGAGACCTAGATAAGATGAACTGAGGCCTGTCCTTCACACCTTGATGTCCCCACCCATGCTCTCCCAAGAGTTTCCTCACTGTGCTTAAAATGGAATGTGCACAGACCAAAGTAACAAAGACCAAGTGTCCAGGCTCCAGAAACAAAGGGCTGAGACAAACATAGCGTGGCGAGAGTGTGAAAGCCTTTATATAGTAAGACCTATGGTTTTAGGCTATTCACCTAATTTCTGGAATCCCATAGCTAGAAATGACATTGCCACCAGCCCCCAGATGTCACTAGCCAGAGTCACTGCAGAGACTTACCTGGAGGTATTCATTATTCAGTTTGTTATCATTTGAAACAATGTCATCAGGGTAGCCGATCCTTTCTTTAATTGCCAAGGCCTATGAAACATATAACACTGAAAGTCAGGATGATTATGCAACTTTCAAATACACAGGTTACAATATGCCCATGACCAGCCATTGAACAGCTCAATCCATACTGTTTGCAAAAAGAGTATCTGATAACACGGGACCACAGTTCTTTGCAATGGCTCCTTCCCTGGGTTAAAAAATAAACAAAAATCAGGTTTGAAATTTATCTTCTAATACCTCATTACAGGCTGCAGCTTTCCCAAGAAAACCAAAATGGAAACCGACAGAAATCATCATTCCGCATGTATTGTATTTCTATGAACCTTTTTCTCAGAAAGACTTTTCTCTTCAATTTTATAGGAGTAATATTTAGAGCTTCCATTCTCGCAAGATATAATTATCTTTCCACTTCATTGATTTGGCTGAGAAAACAGATAAGGGCTTCTTGGGTTTAGTATTAATATTCTTCCTGAATATTGGTTCCTGGAGTTTTTATGTTCTCCTTTGTTCTCCAAAGTCAGTGTGCCTGTCTGCCCAAGGTAAATGAGTGACAGTAATTAAACAGGCGGAAAACAGAGTTCTCCTGTCAGCCCAGCTCCTATGTACCATGGGAACTTGATTTATTTAAATTTTTGTTACTTTAAAAATGTTTTATTTACTCTGATTTTTTCATTATTATTGTTTGTTAACTACTTGCTATTTCTAATTTTTAAATTTCTTTCTTTTGTCACAGACATTTGTCTTTGTTAAATAATCTAGTGAGTTTCGTTTTTCATGGAGAATGAGGCCTATATCTCTGAGATTTTGGTTTGTCATCCAATGAGTGTCTTGTTACAAATCTGTTGCATAAGCCCAGGATTTCCCCTGGTGCCAGGCAGCTAATGTGCCACTGTGGTCACTTAGACCAAGCCCATTTTCTTGCAAGTGATCCCAGTACTGGCTCTATGGAGATCCACCCCTCATAGACATTTTCCCATGTGTTCTCAAGGGCACCCATCCTACAGACAGTAAAAGGTACTAAAAAAAAAAAAAAAAAAAAAAGACTTGCTATTAAAAACTTTGGGTAAATACTGAGGGAAGAACAGCAAGCCGCTCTCCTTATCGCAGGACTTCTTAGAATGAAAACAGGTTCGATTCTAAGGTTAGCATCTTGAGTTACTGTAAGTATCTAACAAGAGGATTCATTGATTTATTCATTCAACATATGTTCACATCCTCACCAAGTACCAAGTACTTTGTACAGGGCTGAGGATACAATCCTGGATAACATTTCCTGCCCCCACAGAGCTTATGACAAGGAGCCATGATAGCTAGGCAGTGAAAGAAATACAAACATATATTAATATGGTGTCACGGAATCATGTTAGAAGCACACACCTAACAGAGGAAGCCATCCGTCGGAGCATTTCCTAAACTCTTTGGACCACTGGTCTCTGGTGGAACAAGGGGTAGGTCCAGTGTTTAGTGACACCATTTTGGAAATGCTGATCTAGAACAATCCCAACTGGTTATCTCAAAAAGAATCACATCATAGACAGCTAAGTCATCAAAGAACCAGCACAGCCAGAGGGACTGGTGATGGGAAGATAGATGCACTGACGGCCTACTCCATGGGCTTACCCCACCCAGGACTCCCGAGAGAGCCGAAAACGAATACTACTTCCATGTGACTTAATTTTGAAAGAGAACTAGACCAGAGGTGGATTGCAGTAGGTTTTTTATGGACTCCAATATCAGTTCCAAGAAAGGCCTGCTCTTCCTCTTACTCTAACTGCAGGGGAATCCTCGAGCAAGTGGATGTTGCTCTGGAGGCAGGTTGGGATTTTACAGGTCCCAACCCCCCCTAGATTTTTTTAGTGATAAAGACAAATGATCACAGTAAATTCAAGCCTAGAATTCCTTAGGAATCTGGTGATTTATTCTTATGCAAGATATTACAATTTCCAGGAAAAGCTGCATCTGAAGGGTAAACCAGAATGATTATAAAAAGGTTTCTTTGATATGCCTTTAACTGCAGATGGTAAAACAGGTGACTAATGCACCACATTTCATTATCTTGATCAGGAACTTAGTATTTCCTCCTGTGTAGCTCATGCAAAAATGTTTAACTGGAAATTTTACACATCATACTGTAATGGGACATCTTGAAGAATGTCACTGAGCCATTGGTAGGAACATTTCAGGTCATGTTTTATAGGAGGATAAAAATATGAGCCACTGAAATATTATCCTTTAATTCTTTATTTGCTCTCTATATTTTCCCAAATCCCCCTTACAGGAAAGGGAAATGTCAGTGCTTCAGTTTAAAGTTTAAACTAGGTAGTTTGGCATGGCTGTTGTTGGCTGCAGAGATAAACGATGAAAATCACAGGACAAACGTCTCTGCCGTGAGCCCCGTTCTTGGAGACGCTGCCTCTTGGAGGAGCGTGTGGTTCCCTTGTGCATTCTACGATCATGTCTTTTCCTGACTGTGTCTAGGGTTCCCCTTTCCCTGCACAGAACTTTCTCTCTGCCGGTTCTTCTTGATCTTACCTTTTCTTCAGCTCTCTTTTTCGTTTCAGCATCCATCCACGTGAGGTCATCTAAAGTCTGAATAAACACTTCCCGGATCTGTGCAATCAAATCCTCAACCTCAGATCCAAAGAACAGAAGCCAAATTTAAGCCATTAATTCATCCTTTGTAACATGGTATTTTTTTTGTCATTTGTTGTTTTGTGATGCTGGGGATCAAACTCAGGGCCTTGCACATGCTAAGCAGGTGTTGTACCACAAAGCTGCAGCCCCCGCTCCCATAACACAAATTAAAAAAAAAAAAAAAAAAACAGAGCTACACACTGTCTTGATATGACCTGATGCATCAAAACATACACATTTACAGACAAACTATGATTCAGACAGATGTATATGTGGGATCATTATATTTCAAAGCAATAATGCTACTAATATTCCTGATTTCATAGAGATTAACATGAACATTGACTAAAAAAATCTTCCACATGGAATGGTTCCCACTGTCATTACAAGAACTAACAAAACGTTAGCTGTCACTGCCATCAGTGGTTTAGTTAAGCGTTTGAAGTAGCATTTCAACGAATTCTGCCAACACAGTATTAAGTTCTACTGTCTTCATTCCAGAAACAAAGGGGTGAAGTTCTTATACTTCTAACACACTCTGGCTTACTTCCTATGTGTTTAAGAGAGCCCTAGATCTTGGTCCTCGTTGGTCTTGGCAGAGTTCATAAATGACTGTGGGTAGAACGTGACAGCTACACTAAACACTCAAATCTGGAAAACAGACTGTTGTGTTGAACTGGACAGTACAGGGCCAGGCATATAACCAGACTCCTGAGGGACAGAGGAAGAGATTCATTAGGAAACAGGGACCTAGTGGGATTCAGAGCTTCTCTGGCAGGTTGGTAAAATTCTAGCTGTGCTTTGGACAGTGGTGACTGCCCACCATGCGGGCAGGCTGACGGAGGAGCACTGTAGCTGGTGGTGACTGTCCCAAAAGCCTTACCACGTGCTTACTCTCCCCAGCAAACGCTGCCTCCACATACAGCCTTCCCACCGCGTTTTCCATATTCCCGTTGACATAGTTTGCGCAGCGTCTCCAGGTGGCGGTTTCGGCTGTTGTGCCATAAATGGCCTAGAAGAGAGAAAAAGAAAATGTCCCTTAACCAGGAGCTGAGGGCCGGTGCACAGGCTGCACATGCCTCTACCCTCCATGCCCCAGGTGACTTCTGGCCACAGTGCTCACTGCCCACAAGGCTGGTGTGCCTAGCCCACCATCGAGTGCAGTCCCACTGGAACGTTCACTTAAAGTGATCTGAGAACAAGGTATATTTCCAGAGGTATGTCCCAGCAGAACTTTTGGCTATTATAAGTTAATATCCTTCTAGAGAGCTTTAGGGGAAAATATACATCACGTCTCCACTGCATAAACATAAACGGGAAGAAATGTTCAATGGATATAACAGGGGAGATCTTATACCCAAGAAAACGCATTTCTGCTTTTTAATGGTTTATCTGAGCTTCTAGTACTTAAGAAAATCTGTGTGTGTATATAAATTAAAGTATCAACAAGGGGATTCACCTAGGTAAGGGAAATTGAGCACAAGACTAGTTTGTACTCTTGAATTTTAAACAAGTGTGACTATATTATCTTTTTAAGGGTACAAAACTAGAACTTTCAGAGTTTTATTTATTTTTTGCACCAACCAATATATCTTCTAGAATTTCGCCTTCCTCAATCCCTACTGCCTGCTCTCCTGGCAACAGAATTGAAATGATGTCCCTTTCTTTACATAACGTAAGTATAGCCTCAGAAAAGCTTTTGAGTTCTAGTTCTGGCTAGGTATAGTGTCACTGGACTGTCCACATCAAGGAAGTCCATCTGAGCTAATGTCCAGGGGCATTTGAAAAGAAATGACTCAAGAAGGCACCCCTGCAACAGCTTCTAGCAGAATCACAACTGACACGGATGCCACAGTCTTCCCTGAACTGCTCACATAATCACAGTTAATGCCTTTCAGGGCCAAGTGACCATCGTGTCATAAGACTGACAAAGTCCAGGAAGACCAACCTCTTCCTAGCCATCGCATCCTCAATACAATCACCAAGACCTGGCAGCTTGTCACTTGGCAGTGATCACCACATCCTAGCAGTGGACACATCAAGCCTTCAATACCAAGAGCTCTTTATGCTTTAAGTCTTAAGAAAAGAGAGATTTTTTCTTCACCTTGCGGAAAGCATTTCTGGACTCCTTGTAGGTTCGGTTGAGGCTGCTTACAAGATCCATTATGAACCTCCAGGACATTAAATTTTGAAGATCTCTGTATAAAAAAACCCACCACCCAGCAACAGAAAAGATGAGGCCGCAGAGCTTCTACAGAGTGATATGAAATGCAAACTTTGAGGGTGCAGCACCCTGACATACCTACCTGGCAGAATATTTGGTAAGAATAGGCTTAAGTTTGGTTAAATATTCTGGAGCATAAACAACCACATCTTCCTCATTTGGAATACTAATATTCACAGTTGACATGATTTCGTTTGTGAAATCTGACCAGCTGAAAGGCTGGAAGAAAAGCAGACACAGAACATTCAGTGATCATGCATTTCTCTTCTGGGCTCCGAGATCCCATTATAGTCAGACACTCAGATATGGAGGGGTGTCAGCCGCATCATCACGTAATTATCACAATGGCCAGTCTGCATTTGTTTGGGATATTTCCTCAGTTGTTTTGATCAGCTTTTGAATAAAAATTAGTTCTGTAACCTGATTATTTAGATAGCAGAATTCACTAAAGACCAGACACAATGCTCACAGAAAAAAACAATCAGAAAATAGAAGGAAAAGAAAACATAGCTTTCAAACTAAAACTTCAGTTTATGCAAATACAGAAAGATGTATAGTGTGTTTTGTCTTTGTACTCCATACAGGTATGGTTATGTCAAAATGAATCTCAGTATTATGTGTAACTATAATGCACTCATAAAAAAGTGGGTATTAATAAACAGGTCCTTGCAACACAGTAATGCACCTGTGTAGAGATCCTGCTGCTTAGAGCAGAGGTATGGGATGCTATGGAGCCCAATAGAAGGGCAGGTTTCAAGCTATTCACGTCAGGCCCTTGAACATGTGGTCAGTATGTTCCAGAAGCTAAGTTGAAAGTTGCCAAGAGATGGAACCTAACATTCTTTAAATGGCAAGTTGAGCATGCCTAAGATGGTCAGTATCTCGGACCCTTCGCTGTGCACACACTTAGTAACTTAGGGTGCTGTTCTGTATTTGTGACTTCCACAAAACATTCCACCAAACACATTGCATTAAAAGTTCTATATACAAAATGTCAAACTCAGTACATTACACCCTTTAAAAAGTCCTCATTTATGAGAATCAGTGCCTGAGGGAATTCTGTCACCAACTGTGGGAGTTCCCACGTTTCCATGGGTATACCTCATGTCCCATCTGTGTGCATCATCTAAGATGCAGGAGCCACTACCCAGCCCAGGGAGAGGTGACTGGACGAGAGCTAAGCAGGGGAAGCCAATAGCTGTCCAGAAGCAGAATCCGAGAGACAATTCTCCTCTCATTTCTGCCTCTACTTCTCTGTCATTGTTCTGAATTCCACCATGGTGGCTGGATAGGAATCTGGAAAGTCCTGTGACTTCCCCATTTTACTGTCTGCCAGCCAACAATCAATGACAATAGCGGTCCCTCAGCGAGGGATCTTCTTATTGCCTACCTGCCTTGAGAGGAATTTTACCTTTGAAATTCATTCTAACTAAATATAAATACGCAATAAGCCATCACATAATATATAATTATGACTTCAGAGAGTTTTTCTTCAGGTGCTATCACAAACTCAAATGGCTGGTGTCCTCTAAATTCATTCTGGAGTTCAGTTTATTTCAAATCAATAAGAAATAAGCGAAATTCTAAAAAGATAGTATTTTATATGGCAGGTTTCAATTTTAGGAAATGGTTCAGGAAGAGGGCACATAAAATTTGCTACTTACCTTCCCATTGATCTCTAGTGAAAAGTTATTCTGCATCTGGGCCAGTGTCATTTTGTTATAGAGAGCCATTGGGTCATTTCGATCTTCAGGTTTAGACGTTGCCTGTGGATATAATTTTTGATCATTGTTTTAGAACTACGAACTTCTTTAGAAAACTATCACTATGAATAACAGAAACAGAAATATAAGTATCATACAGTTTGATTTGGTTTCTATATTGTACTTGTTTTGTAATTTATTTTGTTTTACAACAAACTTAAGAGATTTTGTGTATAGTTAGTGGCAATTATTGACATCTGGTTGCAAATGAAGCTTAAAATTCTTCAAAAATATTTTGCTAACTGCCCAAGYCATACAGGCGACATATGCGGGCTCTGGTTAATGGGCAGCTCAGTGGTCTCTGCATTGTTTCATATTATGGCTTTTTGGGAGAGAACTCAGATACTCTGCCTCTCACTCCTAACCTATCACTCAGTACCCTAGTTGAAATTTAGCCAAGAAAACCAAAGTGCCATAGTGGCTACAAGTTGCAGCAAGTGGGACAGAAAAGTCCTAGCACAGCCCAGAGCCAGGCCGTAAGCCGAGGGGAACAGCAGCACACGCTGCTGTTGGGCCGTCTTCTCGTCCTGCCCAACTTGTCCTGTGTTCTACTTTTTTTCCTATTTTTTCCCATTGATTCCAAAAAAAGGAGAAAAAAATTATGATAGTAACTCCCAATTAGTTGTCAAAATGAGCAAAAGCAAATTTAAGTGAAAAGGGACAAAAGGTGAAGGCTTAACTCGGAAATATTCCTCAGTGACAATGGCTCCAAAGTCCCCTGTAGGTAACTTATTACTCATTTACCAAAAACAGGTGTCACTGAACATCACCTGCAGGCAGCACGGGTGCTGAGCACTGCTTCAAGATGACAAGGACCCAATGCCAACCTCAGAATTCAAAACGAGGCAAAAATGCAGTCCCAGAGAATTCTGAGATGACAGAATTACCACTGCTGAGCCAAAGCTGGTCAAAAGGGGACATGGGCTGGGAAAGCGGAAGTGGTAAAATCCCAGGGCAGGAAACTATTCTCCTCCAGCAATTCAGTTCCCAGCAGAGAACCACATGTCCCCGATCACACTGTCATGCCTCATGCCTCACGACGGTGGTTCAATGTCAGCTGCTGCTCTAGGCAGTCTGTCTCTGATTAGGGGTCTGTGGTTTCATGTAGCCCCAGAGTGCCCTCCCAGATCTTCACCCAAGATTCTGATGAGGCCAGATGGCAGCAGTGGTTGGTGGGGACCTGTGGGTGGAAGGTGGTTGTTTATAATGTCACTGAGCTCTGTGGTCTTAGACCGAAGCTGAGCAGGGGGTCAATGAGTAACCTGAATGCCCCATGGACCACAGGGTCCCTCAGTGGACTGTCAAGAAGAAAGTGCAAACTCAGACTCCATGAGCGGAGTGTGTCTGGGGCCAGAGAAAAACACATCCGATGGCTCCTTGGCTGCTCTGGTGGTCCTCGGTGAGGCAGCCTGCCAGTCTGAACTCAGTGGTGCCACACTGACCATGAGCATGTGCACTTCTTAGCAGATGGATGGAGACTATTTTAAATTATAATGTAATAAAATTGTTGAGAAAACTAATGTAGCTTTGCATGTATCTGAGTCTCAGGGCATCTAATAGTCTAACTGTGATGGTAGGATCTTGATGTAACCACTTATAATGATTAAGTGCATCTTGTTCCCATTTGTCAAATCTAGCATGTCTCTTGGATGCTGAGAACCCAATTTATTATAAGATCCTATAGCTCCAAAGATCTTCTAGAAGTCAATGATCCATCACCATGGTAAACATTTTTATCACTTGGTTAGAAAGTTACACTTTTACCCTTAAACTATGATAGGGGAAAGAAAAAAAAGGGGGGGGGATGTTGACATTATTCAGTATATCAGGAAAAAATTGTGTTTTTACATTGGCAATTTCTTTTTCCAATTCCATAACTCTATTCATTTCTGAAGAAATCTGCTTTTCATCAATAGGCAATCCTTCTTCCAGACGAATCAATTTGGCCACAGAAATCATAAAATCCACATATGCTGTACACGCCTGCAAGAAATAAACAGCAAATTGCTAGAGAAACTTCTAAATATTCATCATAACTCTTCAGTTAAAACTGGTTTTCAATTCATGTTAATATTTGGTAGCAGATAAAGCACAGTAAAATAGAAATCCTATCCTAAGTGCCAGAAGAAATGACCTGCACAGATTCTTCGAAGGTCGATGCGTCTTTTAATTAGAGCTTAAAGCAAAGTAATAAAGTGTCACTTTGAAAGTACTAAGTAATTTATAGCTATCAGCAATTAAAATAAAGCATGATCTCATCTTGTTTAAAAATTACTCAAAACTGAACTCCCTGGCACCAGCTTTTCTTCTGGTAAAGCAGGCAAATATTACCAAGAAAAACACACCATACAACTTGGGGCTGGACCAAGCCTCCTATATTCCAAGACGGGGTACCTGGGGGAAGGCTAACGTGTGTGCCATGAGGTGCTTCACCTTTTCAGTTTTGAGAGGGTTTTATATTCCTACTATTCAATCAGAAGTGAAAGAGGAACCTCTGCTGCCTGACTGCCATGTCCTGAGCTGCTCTCTACCACCATGCTCTTCTGCCATGTTGTTCTGCCTCCACCAGAGTTGTGGAGTCGGCTGACCATGGACTGAACCTCTGAAACCACCTTAGACTGTACTTTAAACACACCTAAAATTGACATGGAAAAAACTCCTATGAGGGCAATTAGGTCTTGGAGATTTCATATTTGCTCATGTGAAAGGACTAAAAACAGAAGTGAGCATGTATAAATCTGAGCATTCACCTGGGCTCACCATTACAGATAATGGTGTCGGCTATGTTTGTATCAAGAAAATTAAAGATGGTGGCATCACTGACCCAATTAAAACCACCTGGGTGGAGGATCTTATTGAATTCATTAATGGAGAAAATATCATTGGATGGTGTCACTATGAAGTTGCTAAGAAGTTAAAGGAAATTTTAAAAAGAAGAATTCTTTACCATGAAGTTAACAGAGACTACACAGGCATTTGAAATAGGATCAAGGTCAAAAGCTGGAAGGTTGTTCACAAAGTTGGTGCTGTAAGAGGGACACTTGATCTGAAGGTCAAAATGTCCTGCCACTGTGGAAGAAATGGCGTGAAGAGAACCCAGAATTGAAACACAGTGGACATAAAACCAGACTACAAAAAAACTTAAAAAAACTTAAAAGAATATTAAAAATACCCAAACATGTTTTTTACTGAAAATTTTAATAATAATTTTAGGAAGAAAAAATGTTTTATATCAATACACAAAATAAAAACTGTCTTAAAATTATTATTCCACAGTTATCTCATGCTTATAAAGTTTCCTTTTTGATGTTTTTATAATATACACATTATATAATACATGTGTGTAATTTGTAAAAAAAAAATGTATAATAAAGTTAAATAAAAAGTAAATAACAACAAAAAAAGAGGAATCCTCATGTTGCTCATCAGCGTGAAGACACATCTAAATTGATAGTAGTTCAATATCAACCTAAAACCAATAGGGAGATAAAAATATTTGTCAAACAAGGGTTAAGCAAAATGAGCTGGGCACAGTGGTGCATACCTGTAGTCTTAGCAGGTCAGGAGGCTACGACTGGAGGATCATGAGTTCAAAGCCAGCCTCAGTAATGTAGCGAGGCTCTAAACAACTCAATGAGACCCTGTCTCTAAATAAAATATAAAAAGGGCTGGGGATGTGACTCAGTGGTTAAGTGTCCCTGAGTTCAATTCCAGTATGGGGAAAGAGAGAGAGAGAGAGAGAGAGAGAGAGAGAGAGAGAGAGAGAGAGAGAGAGAGAATATTAAGCAAAATGTATTATTATCAGTGTGGAAGTCAAGAGGTTTAGATACTGCCTGCCTATGATCTTTATCCCTGTGGAGAGGAGCCCTTTCCTTCCATGAATGCGCAGTAATTATCTAGGACTCTGCCTAGCCTCTCATCTATCGCCCAGCTACTCAATAGCATAAACTAGTTTTCAGCTGTGAGTCTGTATTAAAAACCTAGTCACTAAGGTAACAGGAATGAAAAGATAATTTTATATATCTTCTTGATAACTCCATTCTTTTCCTATTAAAAGGTAATCAGAACTCTTGTTTTGCTTGGGAGTAAATAAGTATGTCTGACTTCACAACTCATGGGACCAACTTATTCCAAAGTATAAACACACAGTGCTTTGAACTAACTGTATTTCAAAGCATACAAATCCATCTGCCTTCAGCAGGGAATCACTACTGGCTATGAAGGAGATGGTAATGTGAATTTTCCAATATCAATGTACTGAGATTTTCTTTCCTATATGAGATGCTTTTTTGTTAATGAGGTGAGCAAACAATAATAGGATCCTCCTGAGTGCTTTGTTGCTTCTACTTCAATATCTTTTATCTTCCCAGATGTATTTAAAGACCCTGGGACTTGGGTGTAAGGCAAGCTCTAGAACTCTGGACCATGCTTCTGGCCTGCCGAACTGGGACAGTTTCTCAGGAAGCTGGTTGATATGGTCTCACTACCTTCTTGGATGAGTACTCACCTAGCTCTGTGGAATACTCTCTCCTCCTTTACCTACTCCACTGTGACTGATTTGAACCTATATCTTAGCATTTTGATTATCTTTCCAGGCTTCTGGAATTATCTCATAGTTGTCAGAAATAAGCATACCACTGCAATTAAATCCTTTTTACAAGACATGATTCTGCCATAAAGATTTAGTTTTCTTTCTTAAGATGCTGGGATAGGGAAAAGGCCAAAGAATTTTAATTGCCGTGATATGGGGAGAAAGTATTAACCCATATTTAAACATTTAATAGTACACTGGCCAGGTTATTTTAAAAATTGAATTTTTCTTTCTTTTCTTTTTTTTTAAATGACTGAGAGAGTATTTAGTTGTCAGGACACAGGCCAGAGTCAGTGGCTGTGATGACAGGCCTAAGTCAGTTTCTGACAAAGATAGTCAGTGATACTTTGGTTAAAAAAGAATCCACCAAAATATCTATGTAGCCCTTCCTTAAACAAAACAAAATAAAAAAACTCCAGCATATCCCAGCACTTATAAAAACAGTTTCAAAGGGGTAATTGGTTTTAAAATGTTAGGTAAAATCCATATAATAGCAATCTTGTAGGGCGTTAAATCTCCCACTCTTAATGAGATATTTACTAATATTAACACCATAGATTGCTACTCTAATCAGAACTATCTCCATTCTACAGGACCAGGCAATGGGATTTATAAACTGGCTTTTTACTTCTAAAGGGGAAGCCTCCCTGGAAAAAAAAAAGTTGATGTTCGTTAGAGTTACCAGAGAAGAAGAGAGCAGTGTCATTGTCATTTGATTGCTATGCTTCAAAATTTAGTATGGTTGCTAATAAATGATAGTAAGACCCAGGGAGGAAGAGGAAGCCCTCCAGTCTGACTGGCTGATATCTGGGTACCTTAGTGAGCCAAGTATCTGTGGACCAGGGGTTTTACTTCCAGAGACTCTGTTCAAAGTACCCCAGGTCTTACTAATTTTCTGTCTTTCCTTTCCTAGGAAGAAAACCTATATAGGGAAGTAACTGGGAAATCCTGGAACAATGCTATTCTTAGCCACTGAGGCTGGGAGATACTTAAGTGTTGCACAGGAAGTGTGTCAGGGGAACACAGGAATATCAAGCAGGAAAGATATGTTTCCTATCAAAAAGTCTTGGGTACTTCCTGGTTTGAGTAGCATGTTGAGTAGCATCCAGCTTTCCAGCAGAGAGACTCGCTCCCCACAGAGGAACTGCAAGGGCACAATCATTTGGCACCCCTCTGTTTGGAAATGAGAAAAAGCTCATGCACAAGGCCCTAGGTTCAATCCTCAGCATCACAAAAAAAAAAAAAAAAAAAAAAAAAGAAAGAAAGAAAGAAAAAGAAAAAGAAAGAAAGAAATGAGAAAAAGCCTGAACCCAAGCAGGACTCTAGGGAAGGAGAATCACAGAACCTGAGAAGATGCACCTTGGAATAGCATGGGGACTGTCTGGGGTTCCATCAAGTTATCAGAAAGAACCAGGAGATTCATACAAGAACTTCTAAGGCTTATAACATATGTTTGGAAAGTTGCATGTAGACCTTTTTACAAACTCTTATTTTGAACTGATTCTGGACAAGAAGGCAAATGACCATTCACAAAGATGAACAAGTGGTTTGAGATTTCTACTGTTCTTTTTAAATATCTGCTGCCCTTGTACTTTTAGTCCTGTGCAACTATGTTAGCTTTCTCTTTACAGAGGGAACAAAGAGCCATGGGTAGTCTCTTTTTCTCTTATACTTTTATTCTAGATTCTACAACTTCCCTCTACTTCTAGGGAGAAAATGGCCACATATCATCTCTATCTGATCAAAAACCAAAAGTTCACATTTCTATTATTGGACAATCTATCTAAAATTTTAGGGCACTCAGGAAATAGAAAACATCTTAGTTTTGATGTATCCACAAAATAGTAGCAAAGAGAATTCAACAACACCTTAAAAAGACCAGTCACCATGATCAACTGGATTATCCCAGGGATGCAAGAATGATTCAATAGACATAAATCAATAAATATGCCACACCATATTAACAAAATGAAGAGCAAAACCAACACAATCCCTCCATAGATTCAGAAAAGGCACTTGACAAAAACCCAATATACGTTCACCATAAAAAACCCTCTAAAATCATAAGTACATAAAGAATGTACTTCAGTACAGCAAAGGCCCTATATAACAAGCCCACAGTTAACATCATGCTCAATGGTGAAAAATCGAAAGCTTTCCCACTTAAAATCAGATACAAGACAAGGATGCCCCACTTAGATTCAACATAGTCCTAGAAGTCCTTGGATATAATATAGTCTCTTTTGGTTTTTGATTAGATAGATAGAGGATACTTGGCCATTTTCTCCATAGAATTATAGGGAAGTTGTAGAATCCAGAATAAAACTACAAGAGAAAAGAGACTAATTCACTCATGGCTCTTTGTTCCTTCTGTAAAGAGAAAGCCACTTGCAAACAACATAGCCCTAGAAGTCCTAACCAAAGCAATTAGATAAGAAAAAGAAATAAATGGCATCTGCATAGGAAGGGAAGAAGTGAAACTGTCTCTGTTAATCTCACATACAGAAAACCCTGAAGACTCAACCAAAAACTTTCAGAACTAATAATAATTATAAAAATCAACACAAAAAAATCTGTTAGCATTCCTATACACAAAAATGAGATATCTATAAAATAAATTAAGAAAACATTTTACAATAGCATTAAAAAATGGAAGTAAATCCAATCAGGTCTTAACAGAGCAAGATGACATTTCCGGCTCCTTTACATTTAGCTGGAGCCATAGGGCAATGTGCTACAGAATGGAAAGTATGCAACTTTAAAGGAAACTCTCTACCCCATTCCTTTTTTTTTTTTTTTTTCCTGTGGCCTGAAGTGTAAACACAGCCTTGGTGAACCAATTGTGACCAAACAGAGGGACATGAAACACCAGGTGAGCTATGTGCAAGTCATGGTGTCAAAGAAAGCTGGTCACAGAACTTCTCCTGATGCAGAGCTTGCCCGCTCCCCTGTGCTGACTGTCTGCTTCTGGACTGGAGCAGAAGACAGAAATAATCTTCGTTCCTGCTTGAACTACTGTATTTTTGAGTCTTTATTATTACAGCATAGCTAAGACTCAAGTATTAAGCAAAGCTAAGTATCTCCAGGGACCCGCAAGTTCATGAGTGTCAATGAACATCTAGAACTGGAGAATAAAGGCTCTGTCTGAAGGGAGCCGCGGCAGCACGGCTCTGCCCTGTCACTGTCACTTGAGAGCGCAAGCTGAGGGTTCCACTCCTTCCACTTTAAATTATCAAGTACAAGCAAGTAAAATCTTCTGACTTCGTAAACAACTGACAACTACCCCCAAAAGAAGAAATAAAACAAACAAACCCTGCAGGTTAAACAAAATGCCTCCACATCAGATCAGGCCCCAGTCTGCACTCTGACCTAGGCTGTGGAATGACACTAAATATAAAATGCACTGCCACCTCAATAACATCTCTTTAAAAAGCAAAAAAAAGAAACTTTACCACCTTGGCTGCCAGGTGTACCTGGATATCAGAAATGTAAAAATATGAAAAAAAAATAAGTGTCTTTGGGTTGGAAACAACTGATGTTCATAAGAGCGCAATCCTAAATATGAAAAGCATCTCAGTTGATGATTATGGTAACACAGTATAATGAGCCCAAATCCCTTAATCTCTTTCAAATCCGAAACAGGAAACAGCTGGACATCTCTTAGAGCCAATAGCTGCAACCCACACAGTAATTAGACAACTCAAATCTCCTACACTACTGGACTCTCGCACTATTAATTGTGGCCATTGATATAATACACTGCATACCTTTTGCTTCATTTCAATGTTGTGTCGCCACTCAAAAAGATACCTAATTAAGCAAAATACAATTTCTTGCTAGTAGTACTTCTTAATGTATCATGCTTACCTGGGACGTATTTTAATAATTTTTATACAGTATAATCCGAAACCACATGTTTTTTACACTGTGCCTTTTTCTGTGGGACAGAAGCAGCATGGTCCAGTCATTCCCAACCATTTGGTTGCACTAACCTCAGAATGTTAGTCATATCAAACACGAAACTTAAAAATGACCATTCTTTGAATTAACTTTTAGATATTTATAGGTGGATGGGCAGTGAAGTGATCTGAAATCTGTAACATTTTTGTCATGGACTAAACTGCTCTTAGTTATTGTAATGGTCATAAAAAATAGTTATGATGACTGTGAAAAAAATAACTAGGCAAAATAAGTATAGACATTTAGCTAATAATTTTAGATAAGAAGCAACTTCAATTAAACCATCACACTGTGACCCACTAGGACCAACTTAACTTCCTTCTGGATTGTGGAATTATGAGGAAGGTGTGCAGGACCAACCTCTTCCCTGGTAACTAGGAACACACAACGTTCCGTTCCTGGCTTTGCCTCCTGCTGCTCCTGCCATCAGTGATGCAGGACCTGGTCAGCAGCCCCAGGAGGCAGGGCTGGGAGGCAGGTAGGAAGCTCCCCAGGATGCCCAGCCTGTCCTGCAGGCTAACAGTGGGACATGATGTCCACAAACCAGCTGACCAGTTAGTCAGGAGGGCATGCCCCTGACTGCACAGTCCTCAGAAGAGTCCAATGGGAATGTTCTAGAAGGGTGACTTTCATTGCATCAATAGAATCCCTGGTCCTGTCAGAAGTAGTTTCACTATCAATGTGTGATTTTAAGTGTCCTGAGTAAAAGAACATGAGAAGGTGTTTAAATTTGGTTCTAGTCCTTTTCATTGTCTGTAGGGTTATTCCAGATGGTTCTCTAGTTTGTTTCTGATTGCGTTTCCTCCTCCTTTTATTTACCTCTTTGTAGATTCCGGTGCATTCATAGTAGTCCATGGAAGGGAGGCCAAGTCGAGGTTGGTCGAACTGTAAAACACACACCAAGGCAAACATATCACTCAGCAGATGGGAAACAGCTGGACAGAATACAAGCATGCCTGCTGATGTGCGTGTAATACCAGTCGTCTGGCTGCTTATGAGGGTGAGGGTCAGAACCCAGTACAGGCCTCGTTGGGAGACAGCTTTCCCACTGCTCACGGTGTTAGACGCAGGGGGAGTTAGACAGTCTGGAGGACTGGCTGTGGGTATGCGAGGGAGACTGAAGAGTACTCAAACAGAAAGTTTGCTGGGAAGGCTTCCTAAGTGCAGAGCAGAAGGTACAGGGCCAAGGAGTTCCTGAATCATACACGCGCAGGTCTTCCCAGCCTCTGACACTCTGCACCCTCACTGGGAGACAGTTGTTCTGTTCCCACCCTTGGTTGGGACCCGCTCATACCCTTTAGGATTATTTGGCGAGCAGGTGGGGTGGGGGCGGGGACAACCTCGAGGGCAACTCTAGAATCTTCAGCTGGTGTGAATTTTGCAGAAGCTTCACCAGCTCCTCTACACAGAGGGACGGGTAAGACTCCTTCCGCCCTCCCCACAGCTGTTCTGCTCAGGACTGCAGCAGGCAGAGGCACAGCAGGCAGAGGCACAGCAGGCAGGCGGGAGGAGACCCAGTGCGGTTCCAGTGCATCTGCCCACTCCAGGAGCCCACGGAAGAGAGAGCTGGGCACACACCTGCCCACAGCTCCCTGTGCACCACGTGGTAAAATGGGTACTCGGGCACATCAGAGCCCTTACGGGTTCAAGTGAGAACCCCAGGAGGCGCACAGGGGTTCAGAGGCACATCAACCAGTACAAGAAAAACCCACCTCAAAGGAATGTTATAGAAATAGCCAAAAGGCACCTCCACATGAAGGGCCCTGCTCCTTCCCCTTTTAGGCAACTCCTAAAATGAATAGTATCCCTCTTAACAATCCAATAAAAYCATTTAAAAAGAATAACATTTGGTTTACTTGAGAAAAAAAGTACAGATATTCTTCAGTGAGAACCAAAAGTGTGTTCACAGTCTACATTGTTTTTGAAAGCAATGAGGCATTTTTGGCTTCCAGACCTGCACTGTGTATGTAAACCAAAGCATGCTCTTTCCATGAAACATACAAAGAAATCAGGGGCTCTTCTCAGTGGGAGGAGCCTGGGGCCTCCTCTGTCATTTATTTTATGAAGGGAGAGGTATTTAAAACAGGTAGCAGAAGTGAGAGGTGAATGTTGGAAACATGGCATTAAAAAATACTTTCCAAATTCCAACGCCAGCTGTCAGCGACAGTGTGAATTTCTGACCCCTATGTAGAGGCAGTCAAAACGAAAACACACAGCATTTCTAAATACTAATAACAACGGTGCACCTGGAAGTTTTATTGCAATTTAAAGATCACTCTGGCTGTCTGCTACACAAACTTACATGAATTATATGGTGTGTGGAGTTCTTATCATCCGTGCCAATAAAAAAATTAATGAGGACTTTTTTCCCATATTTAGAATTCAATTGTGCAATAGATTTCTCAGCTGTCCAAGATGCACCTAAAGCAACGAAAAGAGAAACATATCTTTAGATGCTTTAGTTCATTCATGACATCATAATAGATTTCATGTGGAAATTATTTGTTTAAAGAAAGAAGGAAAATGGCCTTACCGTATGTTTGTTCCCAGTTTTCTGTTGCTACGGGCCACCCATAAATATCTGGTAACAGTTTGAGCAGAGGCTGCCCGCCTCTCCTATCAATAGCAGCTTTTGAAAACAATGAAAATGAATTCAATGTGAAGTCTATGCACATTTCGGCACCAATAATTGCACACTCTTAATGAAATCAAAAGGAAGGGCACTTACTCTCATTGACACAAGACCTGTACAATGTTTTGGCTTTCTGCACTGCGACTATATCTTCAGTTTTGGGCTCCTGGAGGACATCTGAAACAGGGCATGTGATAAAATGCATCAATATAATTGCTCATTTGCAGGTGTAATCCATGTTTTAAACACTGGTGTAGTAAGAAAACTCGCTGTCCTCTCTCCCCATCCCAAACCCTATAGGAAAAACCAAAAACCTGGGTCATTGTCCTTAGCACAGAACTGGGGGTTAGTTCCATGATTCAAGTCTTTTAAAAGGAAACAAAATAATAACACAGGGGAATTTAGAATGTAATAATGGATCATCCTTTGGATGGCTGGAATATAATAACCTTCATGTGATTGTACTTTCACTATTTCAAATCAATCAGATGATTTGTTCTACTTGTTTGAATATTAAAAAATAACAATTTTTTTTTTCTACAAAGTCACTTCCAGAAGAGGAGAGAACAGAGGCTAAGGATAGTAGGGAGTAGCCTGGCCTTTCTCAATTTCTCAGGGGAGACAAAGCTTAGTAATGTCCTATAGCAACTTTAACACAGAGCTAGGGTCGGGAGGCTATGGAAGGTTTTCAGTGGCAATCCTTTAATTGTTTTTCCTTTGGTAAAATGAATCCAGATACCATTTCTAGGGTTGAAGGAGTTTTATCATGAGCGTGCCTACAAATGAAAGCAGAACACTAAGAGATGCCAAAACATCCATTCCAGTGTGGGCAGCCTGCACAGTGGCTCAGGGGTGGCCCAGGAGCCTGGAGGAATTACCAACTCGGATGTTTTGTGACGCTCACAGCTTTATCTTAAAAAACCAGATACCTGAAGAGCGATTCCTTGATGCACCAGCACCGTGGCCACTAACCTTTGAGAATAACTTCCAGCTCATCTCTTAAAATGTCAAAGTTGCTGTACCGGGAACTGGTCTCAGGAATGACGTTGCGCTTCAACCAGCCACCACAGGCGTATTTGAAAAAGTCTGTACAAGGCTCAGCTGTGGCATCCATGTTCTGGATCAGTCGAGCAGCTGCAAGAGCAGGGAAAGGGCGAGAGAGGAGGGGTGTGGATGAGGAAGACGGTGACACCTGGCTCCTTCCATGATCCCATTAATGGGACTGCTGCTCCTCTTCCACAACTGTCACCTCTGGTGGCTTGGTGAAGGCCCCCTAATCACAGTCCTCTTTCCCTTGACCGTAGTTGGCTTGTTGTATTCTTGAGCCGACTGGGTCTTCCCACCCTGAGTCTCCCAACAGCCTTCCCCCAAATAACTGAATTTCCTGCTAGTTGCTATTTGTGAAGAATGAAGAACACAAGTTGTCTCTGCTCTGACTCTCTGGGCCTGGAGATAACACCATCCCATTCCGTGCTGCAATAATGTTCAGGGACCTGCTCTGCAAGGTGCTGTGACTGCTGAAATGTCTCTGAGACTCTATAGGACGTAGGGTGGCTCCTGGATTTTTATCATTTTAGTGAGGCTCTGAAGCCAGTTATTACTCTTTGGATCTTGTTTACGAAATTTTTGCAATCCAAATGTGCATCCGCTTCGCCTATGTTTATGTAGAGCCTGCCACATGAAATTGGCTGTGAGCTTGTTAGCTTTTCTCGTGTCCACTCTTTTATCTCTGGGAACTTTGATGAAAATGCAAATCCCCCAACACGCAGCCTCCGTGGTGTGCAAGACACTGACTGCTACGTGTGGCCGTGGGTGGACAGATGGGAGAAATGCAAAGCACCGTCACCAGAGATGAGAATGTGGCCCCGTGCCCGAGATGCCTCCTCCCCGAGGAGAGGACACCCTCCTACGGCCCCCCTCACTTTCTTTCCCATAATAAGTTGAACTGTTTTGCAATGAAAACAAAAGAGCAATTGAGAATTCATGGGTATCAAGAGAATATAAGCTCTCGAATGAGCTTTTGAAAGTACTTTGCTTTCTGAATCAATTAATTAATTAAAAACTTCAAACAACTGCTGAGCCGTGTGGATTTTTCAACTTGGTTGGCCAATCTGTTTTCCAGCTGAGCCACAAACCCCCACTTCTAACCTCCCTTTGGACCCATCCGCTTGTTGACCTCAGGCTCCGGCTCCTGAACACCAGGCCCAGACTGCCCCTAAGCCAGCCTCTCCCACTACGATGCTTCGGTGGGCAACAGGATCGTTATCACAGCCTCCCTGTGTGAGATTCTGGGTAAAATGCCCTTGAATTGTTCCAAATTCCTTAGCTCTTTCCAGTACCTCTCCTCCTGTGATCAAGGTCAACCTAGTTTACATCTTCACTCCTTTTTGACTAAAAGTCACCTAACTCTTCATTTTGACAGTCCTGGAGGCCCCCTCCTATCATTTACACATCCCGGTTATCTTTCGTACATTACCAAAGGACCCTTCTGCACTGGCCACAACCTCACTCAAAATGTCAACAGCTTGTCATTTCTCAAGTTAAACTGCAAGTTCTTTAACTTGACCTCCAAACCTTTACCAGGAAGATCACCTTTCCTTTTTCCCTCTCAGCACTTCTACTCAAACTTATGCTCAGCGATGAACCTGCACAGTGTGCCACCAACTCACCTGTGTGTCCTCAACCCTGTGCCTTTGCTTCCATCCCCTCACCCATGTCTTCAACCCCTCTCCCATTCTCTCCAAATTCCACCCAGCATTCCAGGTCCAGCTCATGGCCCGACTCTTCCCAAAGCTTCTATGACTCTACCCTACAAGAAACACCCGCCTCCCACCCCCACTCCTCCACCTTTCACGCTTAGATGAGGTCACTTTTCCAACGTGGACACCTGCTCTGTCTCCCAGCTATTCTGGGGATACCACCAGTCTCTCTGTACACCTGTCCCCTAGCTCTCAGGCAATAGGGCAGGATTATGTTTATGTGCAACCACCCCCAGAGCCCTCCTCTCCCTCTCCCTGTCCCCTCCCCTCTTCCCAGGTCAGGTCAGGTCTTGCTCATGGTCTGCAGACTCCCTCCCATCCCCACCCTGCACCCCAGGTTCTACCTGCGCCTTTCACCCAGGCTGTGGCCCTGGCCTCTCCCACCCAGCACACCGCACCCACAGGCTGGTTGATGTTCTCGGAACAGGGGCAGCCTGTCTCTTCCACTCCGCGGCTTTCAGTGTGGACCTTTTACATTCACAATAAAATCCAGATTCCATGCATATTCAAACCCCGGTAGGCCTAAGGAAGCTTCTCTGAGCTTCCTCACGTGAGCTGTCTGTCCCAATTAAATGAATGTATTCAACTTCTGCCAAGAAATACCTGATCATTTTTTGTTCTGTAATTTTGACCCTGTTGCCTGAGGCCCACCCCTGCTGATATATCTTTTTATATTTCTTCACCTTTTGAAATTTTAGGCACCTTCGGGTCAAATCATTCGGCTCCACGAAAGACCTCCCTTACCCACCCATCTCCACTGGCACCAGTCTCAGGTTTGGGTGCCAATTCCTCATCTCCTCCCCAGACACATCCCCGGCTCTCTCACCCACCCTAACACTGGGCTCAACCAAGATCTGGCCAGGAAAACTCTCAGGCAAAAGTTAGGAAATGGATCTGAAAAAGGCAGAGAGAAAGAGAATTCCCTGAGACTGAAGGAAATAAAGATACGAAGATGGAGAAAGAGGATCCAAAGACCCTGAATCCAGAGGACCTCCATGTACAGGAGAAACCAGAAAACCAAGCCTGAAAGGTTGGCTAACTGAGGGTCTTGGAAGAATACATCTCAGCATCTTTATACTGCCCCTATTTAAAAAAATTTAATTGAATGCTGCAAAGGCCACTGCCATTTGGGGAGAACTTCTGTTTCCTCCCTCTCTCTGGGGAAATGGGTGGCTTTATGTCATAACATCACAGAGCCGATTACTCCCAGGAGAGCAGAGAGCAGGCAGGACAATGAGGACAGTGACCAGCAGATCCCGCTTGTGTCTGGAAACACATCAGCCTTTCCAGCTGGGCAGGGACTGCAGCCCCATGCTCAGGTTCAAAGTCACTGTCCCCCCAGCTCTGCACCTCCTGCCCCTCCCACAAGGAAAAGGGAAGGCCTCTCCTCTGGCGTCAGAGTCCCTCCCAGGTTTCCTAGTGCAGTTAAACTCTTTGCACATGTGTGTGCGACATGCCCAAGAGGCCTCCTCCAGACAGTGTGCTTGGGTCAGGCAGAGACCAGGGACAAGTATTCAGTGATCCCTTCTGAGCAGAGCACATCTGAACATGGGTGCTCCCGTCACTTCAAAGTCAGCCCCATTCTGATGGGTATTTTGGGGCCCTGGGCCAAAGCAGGTCACAGACTAGCACTTTCAGGCTAGGGCTTTGATCGTGCTTCCTTTAATCTCTTATCACGGGCTGGATTCTCGTTTTGCACCTTACACTCCGGACCTCCTCTGTGCTGACTTTTCTTTGAAGTCAGCGGTAGACACATTCGTGGGTAGAAGGGGCCGTAGGAAACAGACGGCACAACTGTCAAACTGGTCGTAATTGTTTTTGTGTTTCGCACTTTGTTTTGAATTCCTCAGCCTCTCCACACAGCCACACCTGGGCTCTTCAGATGTTTCCTTATCTGTGGGTTTCTAACTTCTGGGTAAACAAATGTGGTTTCAAACCAAACAGAGTCATGCAGCTTAATGAGTAAATGTAAAAAAATGACATCTCAAGGCAAACACATTGACAGAGAGCCTTGTGGGTCAGGTAAAGTGAAAGTAAGCTATAACTTTTAAAACCCTATATGAAAGCACCAAAGGCTAGAAGGATATAGACCAAGGTATTTACAGCGGTTATATCTAGGTGGTGGGATTATGGGTGGGTTTAATTTGTATTATTGCTTATCTTTATTTTCCAATTTGTATTAGATGAATGCGCACTGCTTTTGCGACAAAGGAAAAGAAAGTTTATTTTTAATTTAAGAAAACAGCCCCATAAAGACAAGCAAACTAATCTCCTATTAATAATGAGCTTATTTCCTACAAATGACAATTCTGAATGTTCCAGGCTGATAACAAATGACACGCCATTTTTTTAAAACTAATCTTCTTGTAACATTCTCCCAACTTATTTGACTATAAGAATTTAAAACAAGCTCGGCCTCCGTCTGGGAAGTTATTAATTACCGGAGTCCTTATGGAGGGAATGTGTGTGTGCGCGTCGGGAGATGCTGAGTAAGCTGTGAAAAACGTTCATGTGCTTAAGTCAGACAGACCTCTTGTGAATCCCAGGGCTCCACCACTTCTGAGTTACACAAGTGACGTAATTTCCTCAGGACCAAGCAGCTAGTAAGTGATGGAACCCAGGGCCTGCATTTGGGAGTGTAGCGCTAAGCCCAGGTCTCCCCTCTGCACCAGACATACAAGGACGAGCCTGCCAGGGTCTCTTCACTCCCTCCCCATCACTGGACCCCCCAGACCTATTCTTCACTTCCTCTCCTCTGGGTCACTCAGAAGCCCTGGCTTCTCTCCTTCCTTTATGTCCTCTCAACACCAGCAACTCACGCTGGGACAGAGGCAGGAGAAAGCACCAGGGCCTGGTGGCCAATGGGGTGAGCAGACAGGGAAGTAGCAGGGGGTGGTCACTGCTAGGCACATCAAAGAACACCCCTTCTGGAGGTGGCACCAGCAGCACCCCTGCCTGATCTGTCCTGATGGCATGTTGGACTAAGCAGAGTGAAAAACCTCAGGGAGGCACTTTGGGCAGTGCTTTTCAATCCTGGCTCGACACGTGTGCCTGCCATCGGAGAAGTCTTTTAAATACACAGACGCACAGGATCCCTCCCGATGGGTTCAGTGGGAGTCTTGGAGGTGGTCCAGGCATTCTGTCAAGGTCTCCTGAGTGGCTCTAATACGCAGCCAGGGAGCCACCAGATTAGACAACAGAGAAACACGGACTTGAGGATCCAATACTAGAAAAGTGAAGATGGTCCCACACGGAAGAGGATCAGAAATATCTCCACCTGCACATGCAAATGGTCTCAGCAGGGAAAAGCCTCCCTCCCATCTTTCACGAACTTGAGTCTTGAGCAGGGCTCTGGAACCCCTAGGCCACACCCTC